TGTGGGACTCTGATAACAAAAAAGTGAATAAATCTTGCTCATATGTTGTAAACTGCTACCTCTTAACACTTTGTATAGTCAGAATCCATGTTTTGTGGATCTGTGGTACCAAAACGTTGGTTATGGCAATGCATTTGTCCGTCCATCTCTGTACGGTCAACGCTAGCGCCTAAACCGTTCAGACAATTTTCTTGAGAATTTCTATTCCTCGATCAACCTGACAGAACACGACACGGATCTAAGTTCTGCGAACGTGAAACGGATATTTCGATTGTTGATGGTACATTTCCCGAAGCATTAACATTTTCAATTTTTTTCTAAAGCCATTCCAATATTTTGGATTATTTTTTCCAGGGTAGAGAAAAGATGATAAATTGTTTGAACTGATAAGTGGTTTCAATTATTTTTCACTACCGCTCACATTGTTTAAAAATCTGAAAAAATATATATTATATAATGTTATGAAACACATTCTATAAGAAGAAACCGAGAAACTTATCGTGTCGAAAATAATTTTTTTAATATATAAATTTGGCGTCAAAATTGGTTGATAAAAATACCTTCAATTCCAACCATTTTTGTTTCAGCCTTATACATGCACTAAAGGCTGAGGAAAAAATAAAACGTAAAAACTCGTTTTTCATTGTATCTCGGTACCATATTGCCCTAGGTTGCTGACGTTTTGGGTATCGATATTTTTTATTCTCTTTCATACGATTATTGATTTGATTTGGGGACACTTTTTACTCCCTTATTCGGCTATACTCTTGTGTTATTCAAAGTCATCTTCAATAAAGATCATGTACAATTTTTTGAAAATGAGTAGTTTTCGTGTAATTTGGGCAATAAGACAAATTTTAAAGTATTGTTTTCTCAAAAGTAGCTCCAATATTTTTATTTATCATTTTTCCTCGGATAGAGTAAAAACGCTGATTAAAAATGACGCTGGTCTTCTTTTCGTTGAACTCACTGAATTTTTTAAAATTGCGATAGTTACAAATAGTGGGAAAATGCATTTGCTGTTGTAGCGTCAGACGTTTTACATGACCAAAAAAGGACATTGTTAAATTTTCGTCAGAAATGACTTACTTTAAAAACATTTTTAAGTTGATTGTTTGAGTCAAGTATGCTTATAAAAATTGCATAGGTTTTATAACTTCTGTCATTTAGAAGACAGCTTTAATCTCATCTTCCGAGTACTACTATATTATAAATATTTAAAAGTAATTTTGCCCAGGGCCTTACCTATTACTTGTCTTGATCTCACTGAATTGAACATTTTAATACAATTTTATTAGATTTTGATGTTACTTTCGCCATGTTTTGTAATGGACTTGTTTTATTTTCAAGATATAGAGAATATATCAAACCACAAATGTAAAAAAATGCTTTACTTAATTAAAATTCTTAAATCATTTAAAAATTCTGATCTGGTATCGAGAATTTCCTTCTCAGAGGCTACAGTAATTCTTCACAAACGAGTAAAAATTGTTTATACTCGAGGATGATTTATTAATGAGGATAATTTGTTGTATCTAAATCTCCAAAGCTCAGAACAATGTTCGAATAACGTGGTCACTAACCATGATGGGAAAGATACAAATCACGAAATTTCTTTAGTCAATACTTTCAGTAAACTCAACTTAGTAACATTCTTCCCGTCACCCCATACGTAACTGCTGAGAATAAGGCTACCAATATTAATATTTGCTCTTACATTTTCACTCTTCCTTTGATGTTTTTGAGCACGTTGTCTGATGTATGTTCTCACAAAGTATTTGTACACTACAAATTATATTATCGTATCTTAACTGGATGAAGAACGGATTGTTGAAGTCCCTGACATTGTGGAAAACACTCTACTATTACTTCAGAGTTTTTTATTAAATGAAGCATTTTAATTGATTTATGGTTTGATGTCTATCTTCTACTTGAATTAAATAAGAATGTATACGCCGAAATCTATTCCCGGATCGAAAAGATCTTTGGTTTAAATATATATTTGATACTAAACAACTGCTTTTATTTATTTAACGCTATCTACCTTTCCAGCTATCTCATTATTAATGTATACCATGAGGTTTCGACTGAAAATATAAAGATGGAACATATTTTATTGAGTTGCATATTGGAAGTCGACCTTTAATATTTTTATATTTCATTAAAGTTTTGTAATTACATAATGTCTTTGTTTACGGCGATACGAAAGGGAGAAAACCTTCCTTGACGAGAGAATCTGCTAGAATACCTTCGCCGAGTGCATTAATTAGTGGCCTGAAACTGAGCGGAAAAGAGATGAAGGTGTGAGGATTGAGTGCTGCAGGATGACGAGTAGTCTGCCAAAGATTTGCAATGCAGCGGCGGGAGGGGGAGTGCTAGGGGGCGGCGAATCACGGGGCAAACAAGTCATCACTATGCAGCTGGGCGGAGCGCTCTTGAGCTGATGAATCGAGATCGCCCAATCGAGGCAAGCGTTGGGGCGTTGGCGATGAGGCGAAGCGGACGGCAAAGGGCGCTCTTTGAGCCTGGTGCGCGCGGAGGTAGTCGCGCTGTTGAGTTACTGTTGCGGGGGTCAACTCACGTTTTAGAATCAGAGTTACAACACTGGTACGACAGTGACGGTTACACGTTTAGAGGGATAACGGGTGCACAACTGAACACACGGTTTTTTCTGTTACACTCTGAGCATCTCGAGCATGAAGAAGCGTGGAAGAACACACGACTAATATAAATATATTTAAATCTGCCAAGATAATATATTTAATTAATATTATACTTCGAAAATGTTAATTATTTTTATGGTAATGTTCTTATTAATTTACGTGGTCTATCTTACACATAGCGGTTCACTGTTACTAGTTTCTACGCAATGTAGAAGGTCCAAGATGATCATGCGTCAAAATTGGCCAGATGTTCAATTCGTTCTTTAAGGGTCGTCGAATGGAGCACAATTTTCTCTTATTACGTAGATAAAAGGCTTCATTATTTCCCTTCTATACTAAACCGTTATCATTCTCTCCTAATCCTATCTAAGAACTTGAGTTTTTTTGTTGCACATTTTATAATTACTTCTTGGCATCAATTTATTCTAGACTTCATAGTTTGGTATATTCTTACGGTCCTCTGTTTGTTAGTCATTTCACGTTTTAACCGTATTTATTGGACGGCGGAAAATGTGATAGTAAAGAAGTCAGCTGGTGGCAAACCTACCCATGAACGTCACCTACTACTTACCTACCTACTTATTTACTTACTTACTTACTTACTTACTTACTTACTTACTTACTTACTTACTTACTTACTTACTACTATTACAGCACCACATACTAAACGGCCGAATCCAGAAGAAAATTACATACATTAATGATTTCAAAAAGGTGTTTTCATGTACGCTCCATCCCACAAATCATGTTCTAAAAATCATTATTAAAACCATTAGTTACTTGGTGTAGCAAAACTCCCCTTGCGTAATTTCGGCTGTCAATTTTAGTTGTTTACATTGACGACTGTTCGAGTGATCATAATATTTTCTTCAAATGTAAATCGCCGTTTATGTTTACTATATGAGGAAATCTCTCATTGGCACTATAAAGGGTTACATCGGATTGATGCATCCGCAATGTCCATTCTCACTAGCCCATTTGCCACGTTGTACCTAAAATTTACGACAAGAAAAACCAATTCCATCGAACACCGCGTAGCCGAGAACTCAGCTACGTGTAGAGCTTTAAATCGGATGGCAGCTGAGGAAGGTATGAAACGGACGAATTTAGTCACAGACAGTGGAAACGGCGATTAAACAATACAATGATCGAGTGAGAAGTTCAATAATAAAGTGTAACGCTAAAATCAGTTTTTGTTTTCCGGCATCGAATATCTTTCTCCCAAAATGCAAAATTCTTTTGATACTCGTTCTGCAATTTTTATGGATATTTAAGTCTTGCCTTACTCCTCTTATAAAACCTCTTTTTTTAGAAGACCTAGTGCTGGTCTAGCCCCGGCCTCTTAAACCCATGTTCATTGACGAAAAGTAAAATTTTCGTAACAATTAACAGGAAGTGCATAATACCAGATGTATCAACAGAATACGTACAAGTCAAATAAATATGTAATTGAAGGATCGATGATTTTTTTTTAAATTTACAGCGCCGTTAATGCATCGGTTGTGTTGTTTAGTTGTGACGGTGAATATTCGGGGAATAATCTACATTCGTGTGTATGCGCACGTTTTCTGAGCTCCAGTATACCTACTCCCATTCTTTTTTATGATATTGTTTGAATTAAAAGTTAATGACTGCAACGAATTTTGTATTGACAAAATCCGATTAATACAAATGTTCATTCTTGTGTAATAGAAAATATTTTGTGTCGAAAAAAGGAGCTAGAAATGTTAAGTCAAAAATGTGTTCGCATGATGGTTTTTGTGATACAGAATCGTGTGTGATCGTACAATATCGATTGAACTTTCGTTTGTGTTGTGTTGTTTGTGTTATCGTCTCGTTGAGTTAAAAATGAACAGATAGTCATGTAGTGGCATGGCTGGCAGGTCCGCAGCTGTCGAATTAGCTCATCAGACATCATCCATAATCAATCTCAATTTTGCAAATCATTTATATCTTAGATCCTAGCAAGAAGCAATGTACTATTAAAGCAAACTTGTCATAAAATGTAGTTCGTGTGAGATAACTGCCAGCATCCTTCGTAAAAGCAATAAATCTATTTTTGCTTTTACAAAAGTTTGGAAAGTTTTATATTTCCACATTTTTATTGCACCATTTTCATTTCCAATGTATCGTTGTGGCAAGAGAAAATCCAGTAAATTATGGAGGATTCACGGGCGAGTGATTGACTTTCGTATGGAAATCCCGTGGCGTCGAGAGTCAATCTTGGCGCATCGATCTCTACACGCCCCCTCTATCCTGCTCGGAAGAATACGTTGGATTTCTACGTTCGGGGACGTGGAGCGTTTGTGCAGGAAAACCATTGCCCGTGTGTTCCAGCAGCAACATAACATCGATCTGGCCGTGCTTATCGCGGAGTGCCGCTGGAAAGCCTTGTTGAAAAACACCACTCGGCGAGATAAGCGTGAACGATTGCGCACAGCGCAGAGAGCTGCGCGGGAGGCAGGTGCTCTGCGCGCGATCTGGCGGCGAAGGAACGCGGCGCAGAGCGTGAGGTGGTCGCCGCCAGGTGCTCAACGACGCTGAGAGAACTGATGCAGGCGGCTCAGAGCAGTACTTCATGCCACACGGCCAGGAATCCGTCGCAGGCAACTTGGAGCGAGCGTAGCTCTGTCGTATCACGGACGAACGCAAAACACTATCGGGATGAAGTTGTGCCGTGTTTACGTTTGTAAGATGCACTAGGTGTGATCGAATGTTTATCACACACTTTTAATAAGCGGATTAGTAATCTCTTTAGCATTCAGATCTCGCGCAAACTATGAAGCTGGCGTGTTTCCTTATATTAGAAAAAAACAAATATTTATAGTTTCCACATTTTAGTTAAATATTTGGATTCTACCTTTTTTTAAAGATTTGTAATATTTCTTGTGCCAATTCAGTTGGCCTTGAATAACTCAGGAAATGTTAAAAAACGTGTATTATTTTTCTCCAAAATACATGTCCTTCCGAATTCCTTCTAATAAAACGTTTGAGTAAAAGGATTGCGTATCCTAAATGTTCTTCCAGTTTTTATCTTTAACGATTTCAACATTTACAAGTGGATGCAGCATCAAAAATGCTCCTGGGCAAAACCATACAAAATGGTATTCAAAAATGTAGCAAGCACACAACTCTAGAAAAACAATAAAAAAATTGTCGTATAACGCTGCAATACATTCATTATATTAACAAATTTTGTGTTCAAGAACTCTACAGTAAAAGATTTTGTATTTTTGCCAACTAGCTGGGTATCTACCGAAGCCATAGTCCACTTTTCACATAAGAGAAGGCTACATAGTTTTCTTTCATTTTCTGCGCGCATTGGAAATTAGTAATAAAAACACACTCTCTTGAAATACCATAGTAAAAAAGGTGTAAGTGTCAAAATAGTTATTTTAATTGATCTTCAGGTCTTTAAAAGAAAGTTCTTAAACTCTTGACTTTAAAGTGATTGTTGGTTGAGGTTTTGGAAACTTCCGATAATTGTTCGTGTGGTAGTGAGATAATACATTACCACCTAAGGAGGGAGGAATGTTCGGATCCCGGCATAAATGCAGACGCAAAGAAAGGTGTGCTGCCTCAGCGGGTGCACTATTTCCTTTCCTCTTGTCTCGAAAGAGCTGCGCAGGGTGCTTCTCCGCCAGCGCTTCCGTTGCAACCCCACAACTCGCCATAACCTACATTATTCATTTCAATTACGCCCCGTAATTGAACGAACGCTTTGCTGCTTCCGGCATGTGGCACTTATCAATGGTTTCGTTGGATTCAAGGAACTCGGGGGAAATACTAGAGTGTGTTTCATATATTCTCATACCATACACACCGACTGGGTTATCGTATTCAATGTACTCTTACGATACAGTTGACGTTATTAGACAGCAAACATCCAAAAAGACTCCAACCGTCATTAAATATTTGCTAAACACATGTTACATTATCGAACGGTAATGTTTGATATATTCTTTGTGTATAAAAACTGTTTCGCCTTATCTTCCTCATGCTTAACGTAGATGACGTTACCACTCACCGTCTCGCATGGCCCCATTTTAGTTGATCTCGTGTCGCACTTGTCCCCAACCCGTCCAATGTTGGCGCTGTGCGTGGGAGGCGTCCTCTGCGCCCGCCAGCAGGGCCGCGAGCAGGGCCCGCGCGGCGCAGGGCGACCCACTTGCAGCGCGGAGCGTCCTTTGCGTCACGAGGGCGGCGCGGACGTCAGCCGCCGCCAATCCAGGCCACTTTCCCTCGCGTGAACGCATCCGCGGGCCACCTGCGTAACTCCCGGGATGAATGGCGCCCGCCCGCGCCCCGCCCCCTTAAAACGCCGCGGGCGGAAGCGGAGAAAGTGATCGGAGCACACTATCCCTCGCGGACACCCTGCTCGGGTTGAATCAGGCACTCTGACTCATTTTCAACAAGATCGTTAATGGCTTCTTATCATATGCAATGTCTCCGAAAATAAATAAGAATTGTATTCCTGAACAAAGTCTTAAAATGCTTTTACTTCCTCTCGCAGGTAATATTCTTTATCTTTATATTTTTATATATTTATATATGTCTTTATCTTTAACATTAATTTGAATTATGATGTTCAATGTCATGTGCGCATATGGAGTCACGATGCTGATAGAGACTTTTCTGTGTATTATCGTTCTGCAAAATATTTTCAAAATAAAATCAAAACTACAAATTGAACGGTTGAACGGTTTGTGAACATCACCTTCGCTGCCTCACTTCAGCTCAATTCAATTGAATCTTTATCTGCATAATACTTTCGAATATATTCGCTTTAATGCAATGATTAGTGAAGATATTTATAGCCAAATATTGAAAATATTTTCGACAAAGAATAATAACTGAAGCTTCTGGATGTGCAGAAAGAAACAATGGATTAAAAGGAATTTACATTCGTGAATAATCTTCATCAATTGAGTAGAATATTAAAATGGGAATGAAGCCAAAAAAAGTAGTGAGTAGAAAAATCGAGCAATAATATTGCTTGTCATTACTCGTAGCAGAATTTAGCAATCATATAAAAGATAGATTTGAGACATATATGGACCAATATTTAGATCATATTTATTTACTAGGCTGTCCGGGTGACGCCGCGTCCATGGCGTAATGCATTACGCCCTGAGGAAGGTTGCAGAATGGCAACCGAAACGTCGGCACCTTCGCCATGGACGCGGCGTCACCCGGACAGCCTAGTAAATACTGACTCCGGCCGCGGAAGCCTACGCTCCCTATTTAGATCATGTTAGCGACGATGTGCGAATATAATTTGGTATTTGAGATTTGCAAGTTAAGTTCCTGCAAAATTTGCATTTTTAGGCATAATGTCATGAAATCAACGTATCAAATGTAATCTGTTTTGAATAAAATACAAATAATCCAAACGTATTGCTTTTAAAAGGTTAGGTAGACAGTGAAACTTCCTCTGTTAAGTTTGCCGTGTAAATGGGTGAAAGAGACTTGTTTTACCTGCAGTTGCTAGATTAATCAGAGAGTACTCCTCGAACTCGATAAAGAAAAAATATTTTTGACTGTGAGAACTTTTGACTGTGTGAACCAAACGCATAAATTAGAGAGAAGCGACAGTTCAAATCGGCATCAAGTTAGTTTCAAGAGATCAATTACTGTTCGGACATCCACATGCATTTCTTCTTGAAATGACATCCGTTCGGATTTAATATGAATGTGATGCGAACCGTATGTGACAAATGTTTTGAATAAATTGAGAAAAAAAGGAAACCAGGGGGCTTGGTTTCCAAGCCTCCTGGATCAGGTGCCCTTCTAAAATTTGTTCTCTCTACACTGAAGTCATATTTTGAACGTAATGTTTCACTATGGCATTGGACTTCGATTGATCTAAATGTTCTTATACATACTCATGTGAACTTTATTATTTTCCTGTAATACATTGTAGTTCCTAGTAATAAAGTTCAAAGTGTCCGATAACTGACAATCGACATATGGTTATGCATGTATGTATCTACACAATGTAGTATGTACTCAGATATCAATGAACTCTCATTCTTACTATAAATTTAGTAGTAACCATTACGATGCCCTATAATATAATTAAATTTTGAAATGTTAACAATAATAACCGAAAATTCTGCAAGTGTATGATTTTCCGAAAATTCTGCAAGTGTATGATTTTCCGAAAATTCTGCAAGTGTATGATTTTCCGAAATTTCGGATAATCCGAACACAATCACTTCGTCGATCTTGAGGTCTTCAAGTAGTTTTAGAGCTACAAATCAGGGGCGGACCCACGGCGGGGGGGGGGTGCTGGCGGCGGAGCTCGCATTAATCGTAATGCACATTCATTATGAATCGGCACATTTTCAGACTTTCGCCTAATAGAACGTCCGAGTGCCAAATACTCCAGAATGGCATTTGACAAATGGAGTTGTTGCTGTTAATTTTCTTTGAAAGCTCGACATCCATGTTGGAAATTACTTTTCTCTGAAAATACGTGGATTCTCTTATATCCAAAGTATTCTTCCCAACATTTCGAGCACGTTCTAAACCATTGAAAACTAGTGGTGCTACAACAGTACATACTTTCTCGCATTCTTTGTTACGGATACGCAATATTATCAAGCTACATAAACCTGTAAAATATATCAAACCAGAAAAACTGTAAACGCGTGGATTCGATCAAAGAGACTTAGAATTAACAAAGCATTTATGTTACTACTACTCCTGTATCCTCACAGCTAAACTCAATCTTCCCGGCGCTGTAAAAAGAAAGTTGAATGTTTGCAATTGCAAATTTCAGCAACTTCTATTTAAGTAAGAGATATAAGTAACAGATTTCATTGGGAGAAAATCTCTATTATCAATATTTGTTTTGCAATGTTAATATTTTGCAAATTATGAAAATGCAGAGATCAACAAAAATTGGATATTTGACATTTTATATTCGTACTTTTCTCTCATCGAAGAAATTGAAGAATCAATTTTGAACCGTTTTTAGAAAATAATTAAATATTTTTATCTTCAAGTAAAAATTACGGGAAAACTAGTCTTTTCTCAATCATTTATACCTTACCTTATTTAAAATTCTACATTTTTAGAATAGATTTAATAAAGGGGAAAAATCAGTTTCATACTATTGTAGATATGCAATTTTTGATAATACAGATTTCACGTAAAATTTTTATAAGCGTTCCAATTATTTATATCCCTACTTAGATCTTAAAGTAAGAGTCATAAATAATTTTTCGAAAATATGAGTCATTTGACAATATTGACAAATTTAAAGTATTTGTTTTCTGTTTTGATCAAAAGTACGTTTATAAAAGTAACACAGATCCCATTTTAGGTGAACTCCGTATTTTTAAAAATTGCAAATCTACATTAGTGATGATAAATGTTTATTTTTAAAGAAATATTTCATGAAAAAAATATCTTCAACATAGTACTTGAAGGATGATGCCAAAAAATTCGAACTTTGGCAATTTTTGAAAATTTAGTTACCCAAAATGACTCGCTGAGAAAAAATGTCATATAAAAACTTGGTGCCTTTTTTAGAAAATTTTGAAAATGTTAAATTTCATGTAAAGTACATCCCGAAATGAAAATATCCATTTCAAATTCGCAAGCTCTCGAGTTCAACCAGATATCTTGGTGAATATCAGCTTTGGAGAACATCGTCTGAACTGTTTAAGCGCTAATGTTGACCACGCACGGAGAGACGGAGGTGTTGGTGGAAAACAATTTGTCCGCATCAAGCCCCGCAAACATGTGGATTCTGACTACCCATATTAGAGGAAGTCATTTACTGCACACAGGAGGAAGGTTTTTCAATTTTTTCAGTATCAGGGTCCCACAGTAGTTTTCTGCCGAAACATCACTTTCCGCTGCAGTATTTCAAAACTTTCTCTTTACTATGTACGTAGGCGATATAGTAATAAAGTGGAAAGTGCCTGCGCCACACAGAAGAGAAGAGATACTGAAGAATCTCTGATGTCACCATTCATCGATTACGTTGGGCAGTGCCTTTCTCCGAGCACGGCCTTATTCCGCCGCAACCTTCGTTGTTGTCTAGCAACGACGTTGCCTATTCCGGGGAATGGGAGACGGGGGGGGGGGCGACTCCTGACCTGCGCCGGCCGCGGGCGCTAACCTGGTTAGCTTGTTTGCGCCCCGCTTCGCTCTCCTCTGCATTGCAGATGGCCGCGGCGCCGCGCTGTGCCTGCCGTTCCGCGAAGCACCCCGGCGCCGGCTGGGGTGGCGGCGAGCGCCCTGACGCCCTTGCAACCCGCGCTCGAACGGGGTTCACATCCCGGGCACGCCGCTTGACGCCACTACTCGCTTTCTGACCAGGACCAACTAGGGTTCGAGTCCCGGTGGTGGCTGGATTTTCGACACAAGGGAGACAGCTAGGTTGACTTCAGCCGCTAGCGGCCGACATCTAACTTCGTTACACAAGCCTCGTGTTACGTGACGTGTTGGATGATGTTATTATACTGATTTTTTAGAGTTGTCTTATACTTCATGTCATGCATAACTGACAGGTTGCGCATAATGCGCATGCAGTATTCGTCAATGTATGTTACCTACATTGCTTAGTTTGTTTTTCGTTACTAGTTATTTATTGATGTTAGAAGCGATTTGAGTTTATGTAAGAAAAATATAAGTAGTGGTGCAACATCAAATATTTCTTGCATTATTTCTTACTTCTAAATTTTTCGAAAATTCAGAGAGATTTACGAAAATTAGACCTGCGCCATTATTTTAAGATAAAAGCCTGTATCTTCAAATTTGTAGTTTTGAGATGTTAGGTTTTTACAATTTTCGAAAATACACAGTTTGCCGGAAATGGGACTAGCATCAGTTATTGCCGTTGACAAATTTAATGTATACAAGGAGAATATATTAAGAAAAAAATTGAGCTATTTTTGAGAATTTTTTAAAAAAATATTCCCTATATTTTCCACAAAATTACTCGAAAACTTGTATTAAAAAAATATGCATGACCTTATTTCAAGATTTGTCATTGAAGCACATATTAAAATATGTGAAGAACTTATTAAAATGTGCTATTTTCCGGCGCGCGATTACAATACTGAAGCAAAAGTCGTTATGGGCGAAATACTTGTTAGAATGTGTCCATCCATGTAAAGAGCGTTCAGTCTAATGGTAATTGAACTCCACTAATGTTAATACCACATTATGACGTAGAAATATCTATAGTCGCATTTTTAATTGATAATTTGACATTTAAAAATCGTTTGTATCTGTAATTGCAAGGATTGCAATTATCAATGCATTCACATTCTTTAGAAAACGGTGCTGTCTTTTTGAGTCGTGTTAAAATCAGAGTGCATTTGTAGATTCAAAATTAAATTACTTTCACAACTCCGTAACTAAAAATCGAATGATTTAGTAAGGAAAAAATTTAATTTCAAAAATTTGTTGAGCATATTGTTTGCTTTGTCGATTTGTTTCAAAAATATATTGAATTTACTGAGTAAGAAAATGGTTAATTGCGGTGTACTGGAGTTTAAAATATTTATTCGACATAATGTAAATGAATAAGGTTAATGAAATCTTATTTCAATAAAAGTGAAAAAGTTACATTATTGTGATTGTTGTATTATTGAATTTATTGTATTATTATAATAATTATTCAAATTTGCGTATTCAGGGTTAAAATTATTTGAGATTCAAACGGAAGATATAACCACAGTACATAATATTTTGCAATTAATTTTTAAAATCCACCTTTTACCAATTTAGTATTTCATCGCAATTTTAATTCTAGAGAAGTATGTTTCACATATTCTTGTCCGTTTTAATTTGAATACATATTTTCCTCATACACCATCTCATGCAGTTAATGCATGTGCTAATTGCTTAGTGCTGCAGAGGAGGTTAATATCGATTGGAACGTGAATGAGGTGCGTCGTGAAGCGGCGTGGCCGTGTGTTGTGGGTAGCGCACGTGAGCTGTCGCTCGCGAGGATCGCGCCGCATGGATCCTCCCACATGGGAATCCGGGCCGAACGCGTGCACGGCCCGCTCGCCCCACCCCTCCCCGCTGCCCCAACCCCATTTCCGCGAGCAGCTAATGCAATGCAGAACGCGCTGGGCGCGTGGCGGTGGGCTTCCTTTCCGCAATCACTCTGCCAGGGCAGAGTTCTCGGAAGAGACATTGCGCGCGTCAGCCCCTCACGAGTGTGCACTCACACATTCAGATGCTTTCTTTGTTGGATTTTCTCTGACACTTTTCTCACCGTGATATTTATTGATTGTCTGCCTCCCACCTCTGTGGTCGTTTCCACGAATGCCACTCGGCCCTTGAAAGATTGATTTCTGAGCCTGCCGATACCGTTGTCATCTCTTGGCTATTAATCTCTACGATCATAGGCGTGCACACACTAGAGGCAGTGAGGGGGGTGGCCCTCATTGTACTTTTTCAAAGGGTTTCTATAGACGTACGTGATAAAATAGTTTATTTCCATAGTTATTTTCAGTCCCTTATTTTACCCTATGTACAATAAACTGACAATTGGGATTTATAATTTATTTCATTTAAATCGCATTAGAAACAGTACAAGTCATTTGCAACCGCTATTTTCTTCATAAGTAACATTATCAAAATTATATTAAATATAGAATAATTAATTACAATATTGTTTCGCAATAATTTAAATTGACTTATCAAAACCAGTATATTAGAGTATTTGTTGAACGACAAAAGGGGAAGACTCTCTCCTCGCCTGATAACCCTGAAAATAGTTAAACTAAATAGTTAATCATAAAAAATTTATATTTATTAATGGTAATCACAAAAGGTATAATTTAATAATTCATAAAATATTTTTCATTTACTAGTAAAATATGTAATTTGTAAATATAAAGAAGAGAAATTGGAAAAAGGAGACCAGAAATGTAGTTGGCTCCCTATCACTATATCTATGGACTACCGATTTATAATGTACAGATAGATTTGTAACAAGTTCTCTGAGAATTGTTTCGGTTCCTTCTTCTTTTTCCACCATTGTTCCATAATCATCATACGCATTATTGTTGCCATTTCTTTCTTCATTAACACGTGTTATTCATCCATTGGACTGATTCAGTCCCTTTGTTACTTTATTTAATTCAATTCATTCAATGTAATTAATCCAATTCCTTCATTCATTCATTCATTTTTATTTCGTTTTACTGCCTTGCGATCGACTGGCTTAGTGGGCTCCATTCTCAAGTCTCGGTAATTCGTCATGAAAATTTAATATTTTGGTCCCGTAAAATCCGGACCTAGCAAATTAGAATAAATGCGAGATGCTGGTTGCAGAAATAGTATGACGAAATGCTGACGAGAAAGAAAATGTGAGCTGAATGAATTAATGCGTAATGAGGCAGGCGGTCAGTGAGAAGTTCCCGCTCAGTTTCAGGAGGGAGCGTGAGCGTGGACGCCGTGACGGCGCACGCCGCCGCCGTGGCCGCCGCCGCCGCCGCGCAGCTCCCCAACCTCGCCCCCGTGGACGCGCTGGGGTGGGTGCAGGCGCTGCTGGCGGCCGCCGCCCTCTTCCTCGTCTACCGCTATCTCATCCGCCCGCTGGACTACCGCCGGGTGAGTACTCGCCAGCCGTCTTTGCGTCTCTGCACCGCGGCTCCCGACGCCTCCGAAAGTGGCGAATACAATGGCGAGAGTTTTGGGAGAAGTCGTATTTGGAATTACCACGTTTTATGCGCGTGAAACTTACAGCAATAATTATTAAGAAGTCTCTCTCATGAATTATGAGGTTATCTGCAGAACTTTATCAATTTCTTAGAATGTTGTGCTTGTCTTCTTAACAACGGTCCTGGTAGATAACCTAGTGTAAATATTAATTATTTTATCTTCGGGATCTACCACACCTTTTTATTATCTGAAGATGTAATTTAATATTTTACTGAATGCTATTATAAAACCATAAACATAACAAGGGTTCGTCAAATCATTCTGACGAAATTGCCTTTGATTGCGAGGGAAAAGATCGATTCAGATTATTCACGTGATTATTCAAGGTTAAACTTCTTTCATGATTTACAACGTAAGTTGATATGTTTTGTAACGTAACGTTACGAAATATGATGGAACGTATCGTACACCCAAAAGATGGGTGCCATGTTTTTGAGAAGGTAAACGCACAGCGAGCGGTGAATGGCAAATGGTGCAGGGCGAACGTCAATGTAAACCAAAGTGTTTTAGACCTAAGACATAACAGGGAAAGTTCGCAATCTACTAGCTTCGGCGTTCGCGTAATCTCGGAACAACACACTATCGTGTTCCGTAATATCTAAAGATTCTTTTGTTGTTGTTTTTGCGTTTTTATTACGCAGTTTGTAAGAATATAAATTGTCATGCATAATCATAATTGCTAACGAAACTGCTATACGTGGCGGCGAGCCCCAATTGCAATTGCCCGCCCCGCGACCCGACGTGCAGGTAGGCGCCCGATCTGATATTGGCACGTGAACGGGGGGAGCACGAGCGGGGTGCGAGCGACTGTGTGCTTGCAGGACCTGTCGGACGTGGGCTTCGGGCACGTGGGCGGCGTGGCGGGCGCGGGCGTGCGCCACCGTCGCGCCGACGTGGTGCGGGACGTGCGCCGCCGCCGGCGCGTCGGCGCGCTGCCGCCCGTCTACCCCAACGGCTGGTTCGCGCTGCTGGAGAGCGGCGCCCTGCCCGCGGGCGAGGTGCGCCACGTCGCCGCCCTCGGTGAGTCCCTCGCCCGCCCTCTCTCCGCCTGCAAGCGGGAGTTGAAATGAGAGTGAAGAGATTTTCGCTGCAGTGTAATAGAAACTACTCAACATTGAAAAACGAGCTATAGATTTGACTTTTCTCGTCGCTTAAATAACCAATGCCTGTTTCTAGCGAAATGACCGTCCAAGAAAATGAGCATTTTGCCTCTTCCGGCAGCAGTCAACGAGTCCTCGCGCACCTCATGACATGTTGTTGGCATTGTGATACAGAAACTGTTGTAACGGGACTATTGTTTAGACCCTCCGCTGCAAGGGTTTGCGTTCGATCCCCGATCTTCCATGGCGGGCAAAGAGTCCCGACCTTGAAATTTGTCGTGGGCAAAGCGAAGATTTTTTTGGTGGGTTCTCTCCCTTCTCCTGCCTCTCAATCCACCATTTGTTCATCATCATCATCATCATTTACTAGGCTGTCCGGGTGACGCCGCGTCCATGGTGAAGGTGCCAAGGTGCCATTGGCACCTTCGCCATGGACGCGGCGTCACCCGGACAGCCTAGTAAATACTGACTCCGTCCGCGGGAAGCCTACGCTTCGAATCACTCATCATCATCATCATCATATTATTACTTATTATTATTATTATTTTATTATTATTATTGATAGTGGTGTTGTTGTTGTTGTTATTGTTGTTACTGTTATTATTATTATTATCATCACTATTATATACAAATACTTATTGGATCGTGCTCCATGGTCCTCAATGGCAACAGTAGTTCAAGGGACCATAACCTAAATTAGCCAAAAGTAATTAGAACGTGTCAGAGGATATTCGATTATGCTCTAACTGCAATGTTGAAGTATAAATTAATAGAAATTATTTTAAAAGTGGGTTTCTAAGGGTATTTATGGTTTCTTTCATGAGCCATAACATTAAACTGTTTTACTCTTCGTATTGTTATTCACATGATCTTTACGCTCGTACCAAACTGCCATTTTAGCCACTTGACCGATGTTCCCGGATGAGAATGCCCTCAATATTATTTTTTTATGTTTAATTGTCAAGCAATTAATGTCAAGTATGTACCATGTATATATGGTATGTATATATGGCATGCATATGTGTATGTGTGTGTGTATATGTATATATATATATATATATATATATATATATATATATATATATATATATATATATATTCTTTACAGTATATAAATAGGGTTCTCGTTATTGTTATACTCTTCCAATTCAACATTTTCTAACAAGATTTCACCATCAATATACTTCTGTGTATTCAACTGTATGATGATACATTCGATAAGTTGGGTTCGGTAGATGGTTCCGATCAATAGGTATAGTGTTTCGACTTGATTTTTTTTAATGGCACGCGCTTGTCTTGTCTTGTCTTTAGTCTAGAGCTTTCCTTTCATTAAGTTAGGTTGTGCAAGGTGTTCCTAAAATAACTAGTCAAACCGAAACTATCAAAATATTCGTTTCTAATTTATGGAGATGAGCTGCGACGGTCTTCGTACATAGATATTTCTGGGCAACACACAAGCAACAAATCGACGCTTGAGTATGGCAAATTACAGCGTTTTAGGCGATATATCAGCTTCATGCGGATAAATACATACGTATTTCCAGATCGGGCTAGTGATATTCACATGTATGACTCATACAAAGACTGCATGGCATGCATTAACATAGGGACCCCTGCGTGATTTCCCTGTGCAGCAGTTTTTAGCCGATATCTCCCTCAGTTGACATTGAAGGAACTAAATTCCTTTAAAACGTTACCTTCGACCTTCAAAATAGGCTCTCTACAGTTATACCTTCGGTCATCTGTTTGCTTTGGAAAATAATTTGAGCAACATGTCGGTTATCGTGTATTCTCTAGGCAGGAAAGCTGTTGGCGGTGGCAGTGGGGGGAGCCGGATGGAATAAAAATGAGCCTGTGGTGTTCGCAGGAGAGAACTGGGCGGTGCTGCGCACTGCCGACGGCCAGGCGCACGTGCTGGACGCGTACTGCCCTCACCTGGGCGCCAACATGGCGGTGGGCGGGGCCGTGCGCGGCGACTGTCTCGAATGCCCCTTCCACGGGTGGCGCTTCGACGCCCGCGACGGCCGCTGCGCCGCCGTGCCCTACGCCGACAAGGGTGAGTGACCAACTTCCACGGCACGTTGAGGGATCGACCACGTCACATTCTACGCACGCCATTGCACAATCAGGTGCAAATTCACATGTCAAACTTCGTTATATGTCATTGTCCACCACACATCCATTGGCAAAATGTGATTATAATAATTAACATTTATAAATGGACTAGAATATTGTAACATCTATTCTAAGACACCATATTAGTAAATGTTTTATTCCAGGCGCGGCAACTTCTTTAATTATTAATCTCTTAAGTTTAGAACATGTTGTGCACCACCTCCGTTTTGGGAACGTAAGTTCCGAAGCCGTCCTACACTCGGCTGGTAAGCATTTCTCCCTCCGCGAGTCTCCCCCAGGCACTTCTCCACCTCAGACTCGCTGTAAGTGTAGTGACTGTAAGGGGACAGGATGGGTCAAGGATGAGGAAAGAAAGGTCGCGCTAGATCATTGGCTCGTTTATTACGATATTATTGCGGCATTCGTCTGACTTTGGTCGGGGAAACCACGAAACTACAAATTAGAGCAGCCGGCCGGTAGAAGTCTCCTCAAGGCAGTGGTTGAATTGGACTTGCCTACGTATATTAAGCTGTATAGTAAAATCCGTCACCGTTGGACCTCCCGGACTCTGTTTACACGAGTATATATTGGGAAGACCAATCCCCACCGTTTGTACAGGAAAAGCGAGTGCTGAAAGCCGTCCGCCAAGGAAGAGGGTTTTATTAACTTTTTAAACGGGGAATTCAAATAATGTTAAATGCTTTTTAATGACTTTACTGCAGGATAATTTGAAAGCGAATGAAATTCAAACTTGCTCAGAATCATTGCATAAGATAGTCATAATTTTGAATTTAGGTAGTTCATTTTTAAATGAGTGAGATGGAACATTTGAAAAGTTAGGGGATTGTTCTTTAAATAAGTAAAAAATAGTCTGTGTAACAATGGGGTGTCAAACATAAATAGTAAATTCAATGAATATTAAAAATATAAAATACTTTATAGTTTTTGTTACACTGCTCTTACATTTTAATTTTCTTTTGTCTTCTTTGAACATCAAAAAAAAGTAGTTGTAAATAAAACAAATGTCTTCACAAACAAGAACCAACCCTGTTTTTCTCATAACTGATTTAAAACTATTCACTCAAACTTTAAAAGTTTGAAGGTTCAATACATTGCTTTATTTCGAAATTTAATAATGGATTTTACTGTTGCGCTAATTGCGTGTGGAATATGATTACTTGTGAAATGAAATGTCATTGGCTCGTCTTTGCAGACTACTGAACCACTTCTGACATTAAAATTATGTCCCAAACTACTTATCAGTTGGAAGTTCAAATGCCCGCGGTTCTTATCCAAACGGAAGCTGAAACGCTATCGACTGTCGCTGGGAAGTGGGAGCTTTTTTCCCCTTCACTTCGTCACACTTTTTCGTAGCTCTGCCCCATTCTGTTGTGGATCTCTTCCCAGCGCACGTGCGCGCCCCGCTTGCCCTGCCCCGAGGAGCTGCGTGGCCTCGTTAGCCCTGTTGCGTCGCGCCGGCTGCTCTTGCGGGCGACTTCCTGGCTGGCGACGGGGGCCCCTCCCGCTGACCAACCACTTCGACAGCTGGGGCCATCTCCCAGCATTACGTCATCAGACAAATTTGTGTTATGCACATATGAAATAGTTCTTGAGGAAAATAAGTGCAATAAAATTAATAGCATTCTTGAATGTAATTTAGCGACATAAACCAGCGACCGATAGCAAAGAGCTGTATAGAACATGCGTTTTGGTCATTTTGTTTAAGTTTTTTACCAAATTTCAAAATTCGCAGTATGAAAAACTGAACTACGGTGAAGTTGGTGAGCAACAAGACCTGTCTCCTTGGAATGCTCTTTTTCTCCCATCAAACGAGGTTCACGCTTCTTCGACTAGGAAAAAGAAATAGTGCCAATCAAAACGTCAATCATCCTACCTGTTTTGCATTGCTTTCTGACTTACATCTTCTCGGCTTCAGTCTTCATACATTTGGGATTGTAGCTCCAATTTCGAGGGAAACAAGTGAATCGGTAATAGTACGCGCGAATTGGAAATTGTACCTCGACTGGCACTCAAGCATTGGATCTGGAGCAAAAGCATGCCCGCCTCCTGTCTCGCGGCCCACTTGCACGCTAATACAGCTCCCATTGCCGCCGCGCGCCCCTCCGCGCCCGCCACGCGCTTGTCTTGGCAGCAGCCGCACGAGCACGCAATTCGCCTCATTCATCGAACGCCCTCTAAGACGCCACCTCTTCCTCTGACACAATTACACACATTTCGTCTTCTTCTTCCAAATGTTCCCCAGTGTATATGCAGTGCGTGGTAATTTTAATGTCCGCAATAGGCATGTTACCACCACTGTTTTACTAATTACTTTATAATGGGAATGAACACTATAATGAGCATGTCACGTGATGAGATATATTGTGCCTTTCGCTATGTCATGGATGCAAAAGTACGAATGCATAAATTATATTTTTATTGGAAATGTAGACCCTCCCCAACATTATTTCTGTGTATTATAAATAGACGTTTTGTGACTCTCAAGCACAATTAATATTTACAAAATAGGTGTCAAGAGAAATAACTATTGACGCTGTCTCTACAGCAACTCTGATCGGGAGGTCCTAGGGTTAGTCACAGCGGTGGCGCATTTTCGACACTGGCTATGTAGCTGAATTGAATTCAGCCACTGTCTGGAGGAGAATTCTACCGGTCGGCTGCTCTGATCGATCGTCTTCCGTTGTTTCTCCTATTATTACCAGGCGAATGACGATCAATATCCATCAAAAGCGCCATGGACCGCACACGATCTTTCCTTCCAATTCCTTCCTCTCCCCGTACATGCTTAACTGCGTGTTCTACATTACTATACATGTCACGCGACGATCAGAAGCCTAAAGCGTGTCCCGGCTGTGTGGTGCATCGTGGGGGAGGTACCTGAAGTGGGAAATCCCACGCAAGTTGACGTGTAAGGCAGTGCCGTCACCTCCCGAGTTGTATACACTACCCAAACGGGAGGAATTACCATAGCAGTTGACGTGCCCGGAAACACAATTATAATAGAGAGAATTGAGATACCGATACATGAAGATTTTCGAGAGAAACGTTTGTCAGAACGTTTGTGTAACTGTACGCGAGTAAGTGTCGTACCTGCACGTTAGTCTAAAAGATCAGCGTTCTCAAGGCTCAATTACAATGAAACGTAAACGCAAAAGCTTGGGTCATCTCGTTCGTTTGAACTATTCTGAATGGTAAACGTGAAAATCATTATAAGACGTGCCGTAACCGTGAAAGTTCGCAAGCTCTAAGTTTTCACTTTTACGTTATCTGAGAATGGTCCGAGAACAACACGGTCGTATACCGCAAATTCAAAAGACATGCAGAGTTTTATTTTGACAGACGTCATGTACCCGAATTCCTAGCTTCGTGATCATAAACGAATGCAGTTTGTAAGAGCAAAACTTATCATAGGTACGTATAATACCACGAGTGCTTTGGAAATTTCCCCCACTCGCGAAGCGAGGAATTTCCACAGCACTCGTAGTATTTAATAGATATATTGCACAAGTGAAATTACGTCCAACGGAGTTCCAAAATGCGCCAAATATTGAACATTTATTGTAAGCTATGTTAAAATCATATGCGTCACAGCGATCGATGTAGTATACCGCCACCTAAGATAGGGGAGTCGGTCAGATTGGCCAATGGGATGACGCGGTAAGAAAAATCGGATAGAAATAGTTTTTGAGATACACCGCCTTTATTGGGGCATTTTGTTAGTATAGTTACACATTATTGGTTTTAATGTCACGAGTGGAAGAGTCATCTATAATAACTCATCGGCATTAATATCCTCTTCATCACTGCTCTTGAAACGCCCCATGAAATAGTTCGTCGCGCTAATGTAGGTATATGATATATGCTACCTGAGGACTAACTTCCATTGTGCTATCCGAGTTATATACTCTATGTTGAGGTCTGTGTAACACTTGCGACTACTCCGAAAGCAGTGTATTTTGATAACACAGCGTTGTATGTAATGCATTTCCTTAATGTAGCAACCCAGCCGAAGCCAGGGCCCTGCGCTGCGAAGAAACTTGCAGCCCAAGGAATTGCGTACGGAGCAGAAGACTGCTCGACATGTGCTGTTGACCGCAAAGCGAGGCTTGGTGGCTGAGGGGGCGCGTGCGTGTTGCAGTGCCAGAGTTCGCCCGCGTGAAGCGCTGGGAGAGCTGCGAGGCGAACGGCTTCGTGTTCGTGTGGTACCACGCCGAGGGCGAGCCGCCTTCCTGGCAGGTGGAGGGCGTGCCGCAAGTGGGGTGCGGCGAGTGGCTGTTCCGCGGCCGCTCCGAGTTCCTCATCAACTCGCACATCCAGGTACGCTCGCCGCCCTCATTGGGTTTGCCCTTGCGATGGTTGGTTCCTCCTCCCCCTCCCCTCCCTCCCACACACGGTAGCTGAGGCACAATGCTGCTTCTTTTGACAGACAAGGATGGCTTCCTCCCTCCCCCCATCCACACCATTGCTTGGCTAACCTCGTGCCAATGGAAAGTAATAAAACCGCCAATGGACCTGTCGGACGGCGTTTGCATTTCATTTTTTTCAGGAAGAATGACTATCGCAATCTTTTATTTGATGGTACTCGTTTTGTTCTTTTTGCCTCTCTTCCCTCCTCCGCCATCAAAATCCGCGTGACAATGCGATAATAAAAACATAAATGGACCTTGTCTGCGAGGGGTTTGCCTTTCCTTTTTTAGATGGAGACCATCGCGTGGTTCATTTTGTGTTGTTTTTTTTCTTCTTCCTTCCCTCCCTCCCAAAACGCATGGCAATGCAAGAAAATAAAAACGCCAACGATCCTTGATATCCGTAGCGGCGTTGGTGACTTACCGACGCTGTGGCCCAGAAGTGTTTTCATCGAGATTCATGCGCTTGTCATTCCCAGTGCCGATCGAATTGACGGGCGCTGCGGCGGCGGCGGCGGCCGGCGGCGGGCGGCGGCTGACCTCGGTTAGGCGAAGCGGCGCTCCCGCCTCCCCGCCCCCGCCCCCCCCCCCCTGCGCCTCGCGGGCGTAACACGTGGGCCGAGATTTGTCAACTTGGAGGGCGGGCCAGGTGAACCGACAGATAATCCTGCCATTGCAGGATGGACGCGTCGCTTTGTCACAGAGGTCTACATATTCCCAAATGAATACATCTACATAGTTGTTTATTGCAGAGTGATATTTGTCTCCGCGCTACGACAGAATTATACTTGTATGTTATACCACAATAGAAGGTTATTACTTAGGGATTTCTATGGTTTACTGAGAATAATATTTGCGCAGAAGGAAAAGCAGGATATTATTTCATGTATCAGTAGACATATTTCTAATGAAATGTATATCTTATATAAACTATGAAACAAATATTATAAAAACCTATAGCACTCGAGTGGTAAACATTGTATGTGGAAAACGGTTAGTACATTAACGTACTGTTCATATTTATTTTCATTAATATGTTGGTGTGGATATGAAAAAAGTCAACTTCCCTAACGGTAATAGCGCATGTGCCTAGCGTCCTCTCCTTCAATCCCGTGAACCCTGCTACGGTGCCTTTCCCTTTTCTGAAGTACACGGGCGAAGGGGAGGAATGAGGCTGGTGAGATTGTCTTGAATCGCAAAAGGGGGTTGAGGGCGCGGCGCGGCGCAGGGGCGTAGCCTTGACCCCGACGCCCTTCGCGCGCTGCCACGTGTGCGGCGCAGCTGCGCGCATCCATACACATCGGCCATTTGCTATGGAAGCGGATGAATAAGGGAAGGGCTTCGATCGCGCGCAGTCTTCTCCGCAGTCTCCACTATCTGAATCGGCGTTTCCTTCATAAGCATTTCTCACCAACACCTCTGCCATGCCACGGTGCAAGGCAACTGCCTGCAAAAGCCCGGCCATCAAGACGGAAGCTGCCTCCTTAGTCTATACTCGTTAATGATCGCTATCATCATCATCATCGTTGACGCAAATTCCATCGGGTCTTCTAGGCGTAATACACGAGTCCGTCACTAACATATTATTGATACACAACACAAAATACATCAAAATTAGGGTTGTCTTTATAAGATTAAAAACCCCTATATCAATTACGCCACTTCCCAGTACGTATTAATATACGGAGTACACAGACTATTGAATTGTCATTGAATTTTATATAAACTACTCGTAGATTAAGCTGACCTGAACTAGTGTATGTCAATCACATACCAAACTTGAACGCGGGAAGAATGTTATTAATCCAATAATTTAGTTTTCACGCGTATGTTGTCTGTCACAAAAATCTTCTTTCTTCGTCGCAGTTTCCGAGAAAATGTAACGAATGTTTGTGTTAAAAGCAATTTACATTCTATACATGAAGCCACTGTTAATGACATGGCAATTAACTCTGAAATGCAAACTAAATAAAGTACCACGAATGTTTTTAATAAATTGGTAAACTGGTAAATTGATGCACAGAATAAAGAACTCTAAACAAGTTTCTTTAGAAACAATGAGTTTCACTTTTAACTCGCCCATTTACTTGAATTATTTTATTTAAACTCGACAAATAGCATTCACAAATTACTCTTTGGTATATGATATATTCACTGTTCCTGAACGACAAGCCGACACAACCAATGAAAGTTCCCTGAATGCGCGATTGTCACTCACCCCACCCTCCCACCTTGATGAATCGGCAATTACGTCGGAAAAATGTTCCTCCCAATAAATGACTTGTACGATCTAACATTCGTAAAGTGTAACAACTTAAATTAATCACATACATTTTTCCAAACTAACAGGTCACCCCGACCCGGAATCGAGTTGCGGACAGGGGTACTCAGCGAAGTCCGAGAGTCCCCGGTTAGATATCCGGTCGGAGTGCTCTATTGATTTGATTTGATTTGATTTGTTCAAAGCATTTTCTCTAACATTCCTGTGCCCTAGTGTTCCCCAGCCTCATTATAACTCGTTACAATTCACGCTATCTAGCGGGCGAAGGCGAGGGGGTCGTGCGCGTGACTGCGCCCCCTACGTGACCTGCTTGGGTCCAGTCCGGTTCCCATGGCGACGGAGGAAGCAGAGCTCCGGACGTTGCGCAAGGAACCGGTTCCCAGGGGGCCGCCCTTCCCCCTGACGCCTCCCCATCGCCAGGTGGCGGAACAACTCTTGTTGTGATGGAGTCAACCTAAACCGGTGTTGTGCATTGGAATGTAGTTCTTGATTCGATACCGTATTGTGTATGCGTACCATCAATGAGGAAAAGGGTGGGTATGCTGATATTATCTAAAATCAAAGGTAGATTCCTCCTAGATTTGTTATTACAATGGAAGACGTTTGCCATAAATGTTCTGCAAATTTGTAGATTGGAGGATGCCGTGTTGTCTCACTTGAAATCTAATTTGTAAGAGTCTTCAAACTTTTAACTCGGGTATTTTCGAAAGTGACCTTTAGTAGACAACTCCTGCTTGAACAAGATCAGATTCGACGCAGAGAAAGGAAGGGAAAGAAATTTAATAAGAAACGCGTATCAACGTGGACTACCAATTTATGAGAAATGCTTACTTGAAATACACAAGTTCCTCTCGATTTGTATATCTAAGCGTAATAAGATCTAATAATGATCAGCTAGAGAACATGTATTACTCATATGTAGTTCGTGGATTAGTAAGTTTTCGCACAGCGTTGTGGGGATTGAGTGGTAATGTGGTGCACATTCGCTCTGAGCTTGAACGAATACAAGGACTCTACATGTGAAGAGTTGGCTAATAGGAGGTAAATCGTGTCTTATTTTGAATATTTAATTCGTTTGGTAATGAAAGAAGCGCCTGTGTGAGCGCGAAGGAAGAGAGGAGAGGAGGAGTGGAGGGCGAGTGACAGACACGAGGCGCTGGGCGCGCGCCGTGCGCAGGAGATCCCGGAGAACGGCGGCGACGTGGCGCACCTCAACGCCATCCACGCGCCCTCGCTGCTGGGCGGCGGCGACCTGGTGCGCGCGCAGAAGCTGCCCTTCCGCTTCCTGCGGCACGTGTGGGCGGCGGCGTGGGCGGCGCAGACAGAGCCCGGGCGCACGCACCTTGCCACCATGCGCCTGCAGCACGAGACGCGGCTGCTGGGCAAGGTGCGCGTGCTGGCCATGGACGTGCGCGCCGAGCAGATCGGCCCGGCCTACGTGGAGATGTACCTGCGCTCGGCGCTCGGCGACCTGCTCATCGTGCAGGTACGCCCGCCGTCACCCTCTAGTACATTATTACATGCGCCACTTTTCGAGGGCATTGCTGTAAAAGTTGCTAGTGTAAAGCCTGATCCCAAGCGCGAAGAAGTAAAGTTACCTGTTTCTTCCATATTTTCTGTCTGGAGAAAATTAATTTTTTACAAAATAACAAAAATAAAATCCATCTTTCCTTTGACTTTACTATTATTATTATTACCACGAGTTATGATTAAGTCTGATGTATTGATTTAGTATGTAAATACTTGACCAAAAGAAACATTGAATATTGTAGGAGTAATATTAGATGGTAATAATGCAAAGAAAGGAATGCCTGGGCCCCTGTAGCAAATGCTCTTGCGCAGGCCGTGACGCCGCTGGAGCCGCTGCTGCAGCGCGTGGTGCACCACGTGTATGCGCCGCCGCGCCTCGCGCTCTTGGCGCCCCTGCTGCTGCTCTCGGAGGCCATCATGGTGAGATACCCCTCATTCTTTCGCCTTCTATTCATTTTCTTCACCTCCTCCTCCTCCTCCTCTCTCCTTCCTATAATAGTTTTCCTCGGTGATCCAGCTAATGTTTATGTGGCATAATGATTGGAGACATTGTGAACAAACAGCATGCAACGCAACAACGTAAAGTGCGTGCGTTGCATCGAGCCGGGTGATAGTAATTCGAGATACTCGCCGAACTTATTTTACCCATTTGTTATCAATTGCACTTCATAACCACTAACATACAATGTTTATTTTAGAATTCGTCAACCTAAAATAATAAATAAGGATAAATAACTACTTAAGGCTAAAGATAAATTAAAGCGCCAAAAACTGTAAAAGAAATTTACCTACAAATATGTCACTGTGTATGTACTCCGACAAACTGTTATTTTAATTTCGGCAATCAAACGGTCGCTTCTGTCTCAGAATAGCGAGTGGTCTTCTGGTAACCATTCGTCAAGTCTCCCTAAACTCACTTCGCTTGTCCAGAGGTGTGGTATACATTTTTTCGGTTCCATAGTTATAGAGGATGATCGGTCCTCTTCAGGGACACATTATAGAAGGTAGCCTTTTTATCTCCTTATCCTGTAGTATTCTTCTTGGGAAACCATTTTCATCAACACTGTCCAGTGAAGTAGGGTTACACCTCCAAACCCTAAACCGCAGATATTCCTCTGCTACTATGTTCTCACGAGCCTCATTATTGAAAATGGGGAAGGAATTTTCTAATGAATACTTATTTTCTCCACCTTCGGAATAATTATTATTCATTTCAAAACGATAACTATGACACGAATATATTATTCATTTTTGTTGTTTGGCTTATTCATTTATCTTATCCTTGAGCTGTATTGTAGTAGGTACTATAAGGAAATGTTAAATTTTAAATTACCCCAGCTCTAGGTTAAAGGACAAATTAAAGGATCTTAAAAACATTCTTCCTCATTTAAACAGATAATAAAGAGTATATTTTAATTCGGCATTTCAAAATGTGCTTTTTATCTAAATATATCTGGTAATCCTAAAATATATTACATGCCCCCCCCCAATATGCGATTATTGTCCTTCATTTGTGTATTGTTACGGTCCAAATCTGCCAAATGCATGTCCATAGTTTTCTGGACTGCCGCTTATTGCATCTGACATTGCTGTTCACAGTTTGAGCGAGATATCATGGTGTGGAACCACAAGAAGTACGAGGACAAACCCCTTCTGGTGCGTGAGGACAAGACGATTCAGCGCCACCGTCGCTGGTACAGCCAATTCTACTCAGAAAACAGCCCTCGCCACTCGTTCGTCAGCCAGAACTCTCTTGACTGGTAGGGGCAGGTTGTCCTGGCTGACTCCCCACCTCGCCTCGCCTCTGTAACGATCGTAGTCTCTCTCTCTCATATGACGCCTTCAGTGAACTGTGGAAAGTTATGTGAATCTGCCGGAAACATCCTTCGACCTTCCAGAAACACATACATACAATGGTCAGCAACTCGATTAAATTAAAACGTTTTATCGCGTGCGTCGGCCGTAGAGAGTTCACGGAATGTGATGGATGTTTTCGCGCGCTTGAAAATCTCTCGTGGAAGTGTTTCAATGCTTGCATGTTACGGCCATACCTGCACATATATTCGCGGAAAACTTTTACGGTGAATATTGTGAAAGAATTCAAAATTTTACATTTTGGAACGTTACGGCCCGTCGTTCATAAGCTTGAACGGCTTTTAACGTCCTTTCTGTACTTTTGAATGGCAACTTTTAATTTCTATTTTTTTAAACATCATTACAAAAGTTTAACGGCAGATAAAGGGGTTGTATATTGAAGTTTCAGGAAACGAAGAGCATGGATACTTTGATCTATATTCTCCCTTCTGGTGCCTGCTATTGGTGCTAATATAGTTTAGGTTTAATTTGTCGAGACGAGGTAGTCTTCTCCGATGTTCGCTTTCTTTTCTTACACAAAGAGTCTCGCTGAGTTTTATGTCTAGTGGACGCCTTCTGGCGCTTGCGTCTTCTCAGAAATGCAGGATGAATTAAGTAGGTTTTCTATTTTTCACTATTTCTAAAGCGAAATGCCCAAAGGAGTGGGGTATCAGTACCTGTTTGAAAATAAGACAAATGTTTCTGTATCAAAATGCTCAATTTTGATCATATCATGTACATCGACCTGGAGTACCTCCAGACAACTCGGGGTAACTCAAGGGCTGCTGTATTTGTAGTTCTTTTACATGGTACGAGTTATAGTGTAGAAATAGATTTAAGGGTATGTACATAACGAAATGTGCAGTCTTGAATCATTTGTAAATAAGATTGTTTTATTCTTGTTTAGATGATATGTTGGTGCCTTGATGATTCCTAGCAGTAGAATGAAATAGAGTTGGTTATGTTTCTTGTTGCTTGTAAAATGACAATATATAACAAAAATCTTTGCAGCTAACTCTCTGTATACGTTGTTAAATTTTAATAAAGTTCTGCAGTGCAATTCATGTAATGTACTCTTCTTTTTCCTCTTCCCTTTTTGTTTAATAACCTGTTCCTAATTAATAATACAAAAACATTCAAACAACACACCTTAACCTTAAACAACACTACTAAAATTATTAAGATTCCTAGAATAATAAAAGAGCACTAATGAATTGAATTGATAAAGCCTCCATACACATTATCTCCCTCTTTGTCAGAAGACAGATGTGGTAAGCGACCAAGGCATATCACACAGAAAATAAGTCAACAAAAATGAATAACTTCAGGGGAACAGTTGCATTGTTCATGTTTGTGGAAAAAACTTACTCTTTTGACAAAATTACCATTCAAGCCTAGAATTGACTTAATAGCCCGCAGGAGCAATGTTATTGAAAATGATAAAGAGAAACAAGCATTTCAAAAAAAAAATAGTGTAAATGAAATAAAAAAACATTTTAATAGAATTTCATTAAATTGAAATTAACAAAAGTTACACCATAAATTATATATGAAAATGTTTAGGAAATCCAAAATATTTCAATAATATCAAAAATCAAAAAACTCACAGCAGCATCTACAGTTTTTGTTATACTAGATCAGGTGTGGATCCATGGGGAGGGAAATCCCCTCCCCCACCTTCAAAAATATTTTCAGATAATCATTAAAACAAAATCATATTGCTGCCTGAGCTGACTGTAGCCTGCAACATTTTACAAGTTTCCACAAAAACCCAACTTTAAAAATTTAAAATATCCATAAGAACCAAAAACTTAAAGAATTATAAAAATTAACATAGGTATTTGTTTTTCTAATTAATTTGTAATTAAACATGGTCACACGTTTAATGTCTTTACTGTTGCAAAACATTTAAGTGCATAATTATGTCCAAAAAAGATGACAATATATTTATTTGTCTCTTCTGAAGATCTTTTTGTCACCTCTTACACTCCATGTATCTGTTCAAGATGGTATCATTAGAAACCTAATTTATAGCAAAATTAAGTAGCTTTTGAAAAATAAAGATATTAGATCAAAAGGCTTTAATGTCCATATGGAAGTTTAGGAACACCACCCTTACATTTAATCATTCTCTTCTGCATGTGCAAGTATAACTCAGAAATGGACCTTAAAATCTGGCTTCGTAGGAGTTATGTTCTAATTTACATAATAAGATCTTTCTGGATCTTCTATTTCATTTTTGGAGGTTTGGCTCATCTGGTTAAGCCTTCTCCCACTATGTAGCCTGAAAAGCTAGAATGCAGAATTTTCACTTCTTTGAAATGATGTTGGTTTAATTTTCATTAAAATCCCTGAATTTTTGAAAATTGCATGTTTCAATTTTTTATCTCCCTAAAACAAAATCATTAAACATTGTTTTGTTTATGGAATACTTCAAATTTTATTCTTTAAACAATGTCTTGTGTAATATTTTCATAATATAAGTAGTTTTCATATATTTTGAGTGAAATTGTGACCATATTCCCACCAACAATATTTTCTCAAAAATAGATCAAAGCTTTTCACCAAGTTCTATGATGTTCTGCCCTCAATGATAGTTCCTGACAATGGTAAATATTTTAACCACCAAAACATTCAATTATATGATAAAATTGCCCTTTTTATTACAACTTTTAAATTTTAAAAAAATAAAGGTATGAACCTAGGTATTATCTTTGGAACCTTTAAAGCTTCACTTGATGAAATTTCTTTTCAAGAGATGACTGAAATATTAATAGGATACAAGTAGTAATGTTATAATATACTTATCTATTACAAATAATAGAATAAAGAATTTGCTGTAGTAGCACCACAAGTTGTAATAGTACTTCCCAATTCACTTACCAAATTTGAATGCAATGGCATGGGAAAAAAAATAAGAAAATTTTCTCCTCATTCTTCTAGGTAATACCACTTCTTTGGACATGTGGTATTTACCTATACTTTCTTAGTACATGTCTGAAAATGTTCAAAATATTGAAGTCAACATTTGGGAGTATTCATTCTGAGGATTTTCATACAAAAGCTAAACATATAATAACAAAAATCCTAACAAATAGTAAATATATATATATATATATATATATATATATATATATATATAAACCATCACTCAAATTATATATTATATATAATTAAATAGTTTCTGATCTTGCATGGCAGCATGTGCTCCCCTAATTTTTGAAGAGATTAAAGCTTCACAAACTCAGTCTAATGTGTGTTCACAACTACTTCTGCAATTGCGCTATTATTGGTTTTGTATGTGAATCTAGCGTTGCATGCGAATCAAACATTAAAAGGTGAGGTTTTTTTTTTTTTTTTTTGAGATCAAAGTGTTAGTTAATTTGATTAAGAATAAGCTGTGGGTCACATTCATTCGAAAACGGTATTTGCCCACTAATGTAAGAACGGAAAAGTGCGAAGTCGAACATAACGTTCATTCATTCTCTAGCATTACTCACAGTTTTGTTTTCTCCATATCCACTTGAAATTCTCTAAGTTCAATAAGTTCTGCAGCAATACTGTTCGTAGGTATTCGCAAATTTTGATAATAAAAAAACGATAATAATTCGACACTAAATTGAAATCGAACTGCAGCGCGGATTACTTTGTAATTCAATTGTTCACTTAAATATATCAATATCAGTGTTGTCAAAGTCGTGAAAGAAAATTATAGCGTAATAAGCAAAAAATGCCTTTTGGTTCTGATATTTAATCAACGCCACCTACATAAATCGATTTAGGAGGCGTTAGTTTAATTCCTGGCATTGTCACTAAGATCGCAGCGCCAAAACATGAAAATACACGTTTTTAAAAATAATATTTAAATATTCACGCGGGATCCGAAAACAAATTATCAGTTCACCATCAGGAGACCGAGACGCACCGAATGACACCTCATTGTTTCGACTTGTTCACGGGAAGTGGTGAAGGCGGAATGGCAAAAACGCACATTTGCTCGTCCGCCCACTCAAGAGCTTTACTGAAATACTATATAGTGATTTTGTGTTAGTAAACATGCAGGTGAGCGAAAGAAATATGTATTAAGTGTCACTTTCTAATTTAAAAGTAATGACATCAGAAGAAATTAGCAAAAGGATACTGCGATAGGTATGCTTTGCTTGTTGATGACCTCGTAATAAGTGTCGGTCCGAAAAATAGCCATGAATCTAGTGACAAGAACACTCTCACAGTCACTAGCCAGTAAATTTCCGGTATCAGAGACTAATACTGCTTCTACGGAATCAGCTGAAGAAATATATTTTCAGAGGCACATTGTGCAGTATTTGCACTCACTATTTTATTTTTGTGTCGAAATGTTGCATTTTTTACTAATTACTTTTCTATTTCAAGAATATACTACAAAGTCATTTTATATCCTATTTTTACTTTTCATCGAATTTAAATATGTTCAAGTCTTCATTCATCTTTTTTAAGCAGACTTAATGTGATTTGTTAGATATGCCATTGTTTATTATTTCCAAAATAAATTAATGTATTTGTTCAGAAAGAAAATTAATAAAGAAATGAACTAGTGGTGCTACAGAATGGCACGACTTTCCCGTATTACTTTTCTATTTCCTTTGGTTTCGGCTACACTCGGACTTGCCACATACTCTTGCAAGTTCCCATCTATCGCCACCTAAAGTACATTTTCCTAATTTTTCGGTTTCCTAATTGTAGAGCGGGAATATTATTTTAAGATCGTTAAAGAATAGTAAAATCTCGTCCTAAATGGCAATTTTCTTGAAAAATTTGGAGTCGTTTTTAAAAAGGCGCCACTGTAAATTCGAAATTTGAAGCACTTTTTCACAGCATGTTTTTCAGTTTTCGAAAAACGTAATTTTAAGTCATTTTAAGTACTTTAACTCACAAATACAATAGTGTTTAGAAATTGCTGGAAATGTGCATATAAACAACGTGAGAGATCTTTTAAAAAAATTACATTTGTGTAATTTTTGAAAAAACAAAAAATACACTGAAATTAACTTTACAACATATTTAAGAGTGCAATTACCACTATTCGTTCGAAATGTTTGAAGACAAAATTTGGAGCCATTTTTGAGCGAATGGCGTTTGAGCGTTTCTGAAAATGCGGAGTTTTGAGCTAGTTTTCACATAAAACGGTAGAGTTTTCGAGAAACTTTATATAAGATTATTTAAAGCACATGTACTCATAAATACATTAATGTGAATAAATTGCCGCTAATATATATATATATATATATATATATATATATATATATATATATATTAATATGAGAGGCAAGTCAAAAAATATTTTTTTAATTTTTGAAAAAAAACAAAAGAATAGAGCAATATGGCGTTTATGTCATCTTATAGAGTACATTTAACATTATCCCTACCAAAAATTTAAAGAAAAAATTCGGAGTTGTTATTGAGAAAATCTTGTTTTGTATTTTTTAAATTACACATATTGCTCGCAATACTGCGCGAATACTACTAAAATGTTCAAAAAATGCGCATGATCTCAATGAAAGAACTCACTATGGAGAACAAATTGTATTTAAAGGAAAAATCTCTATCTTTAATTTTGTAGTTGTAGGAAGACGCCGAAGAAAATTCATACTTTTGAAAGTTTCGAAAATTCTGAGTTAACCTTGAAAATTGGATCTATGCCACTTTTATAAGTTATGTTACTCTATTCTTACCAGAAATTTAAAGAAAAACATTGGAGGCGTTTTTGAGAAAAGTTTGAAAATGTCCGGAGGGCTTAATGTAAAGTACCCCCAAATTTTGAAGAATGTTTTTTAAAATGTCAAAGTTTGGACTCAGGAGCCAGATGGACAGAGGTTTCTTCAATTTGGAAATACTACGCATAGTTTACGCGCTAGTAGAGAGAGTCTAATTTCCTATCATCACACCGGTTTAGGTAGTTCAGGGCATCAAATATTGTCACTGCAGGGACACTGATCTAGAGTTCGAGTCCCAAGCTCCTAGAGTCCGAGCCCCAGAATTTTAGACAGTAGCTAAACAACCGGGTCGAATTCAGTCTGACTGGAGAGAATTCTAGCGGCCGGCTCATCGTAGCTTCCTCTTCCTTGTACTATCCTTACTCCTTATTTACACACGCGTACACTTACATGCACTACACTACCTCGCATGTCCGAAAACCGATAGGGAGCTTTAGAGCTTGTCCCGGCTGGGACGGTGCCCCACTGGTGAGAGATAGCTGGTTGCTGAAAAATTCGCAAGTAGACGTATCGGTAGGCACTGGATCTCACCATCCAGCAGGACAGATTACCGCCACCTTGAGCGATAAATACTACACTACACTCACGGGACTAATGGACTTAGCCGTTGACGCACTCGGAAACACCAACAATCGGACTATCAGTTTTGAAGGTTTACCCTAATTCATTGCATAATTGACTAGTTAAATCCCAGTTCTTTTTTAGGCTCCCATCAAGAAAGTGTCAGAAAGAAAGCGGTAGTATTTAAAGCGGTAGTTCTTACTGCACGTATAGAACTGTTAGAAATCACAACGGCTAATTAAATTGGACCATTTTGCGTAGTTTAAAAGAGGCGCCATCGTATCTCGGAGGAAATCAGGCACGTGCGGGAAGCGCAACGTGGGGGTTGGAGGCTTGAAATTGTACCGCGCGCATTTTGTATAACAATTTACATTGTTCCTGTTTTTATCACAATCTAATTATATGTTAAACTAAGTTTCTATGCCACTGTGTATAAGCAGAGCAGGTGAACTAAGCTGATCTCCACAACTATTTACTCTATACTCTGTGCGCAGGAAAGCTGAATGCGAAATGAGATTGATGTTAGCGTGTCTGTAAAGTGAAGTTGAGGTTATCGAAATCAGGTCGTATGATGAGTAGAAGTGAAGACATCAAGCCACAGAGGGACACAATTTTGACTTAATGGGTCTAATTAGTCGTAGTTGTTGGGGATTATGTGGTGCATTATTGAAGAGAGAAAAACTAAATAAGATAATTGCCCCCCAATCATTCAGCGTTTTCACCTTACCTCGAATCTTCGCATCGCAAAACTTTTCAGGCGATTCTGATGCTAACGATGTTGATAATGTGGTATGTAGGCGTGCGGCAAAGGATACTCTTTTTAATTGCTTAAGTGGAATTTTTGAGTGTACACAAGACGAAATAAAAAGTATGTTAAAGAAATCTCCGTCTCTAGTCAACATGTATCGAGATAACATAGTTAGGAATGCGAAGTATTTAAAAGACAGTGGTTTGATGAAAAGTAATTTAGTAGCTCATCCATGGGTACTGGAATATAATTCACGTGAGTTGTCCTAGGATTATTTCAGATATATTTACTGAAACATTAATAGCAAAATTATAACTTTGTTCTTATATTTTGCTTACTAGAACTTTTCCCGTCAGCACTCAAGCTTCTAAAACTATTTCATCATGATGTGAATGTTAATCTTCCATTTCTGGTTATTCCTTACAAAAAACTTTTCCATATGGCAAAAAGAAGAGAATTAAATAATGTCGTAAGTGAAAAAAGTACAATTGAGTGGTTGAGCGACTTACTGGAGGTAAATACTTATAGTTTTTTATAAACTAGTTTGCTGTAGTAAATATAATTATTTAATAGAATTTAAAAACATCTAATTAGGATTTGATACATTATAATACAACATTATCTTAATGATTTTCATTTCTGCAATTTTGTGAAATTCACTTGTTTCAGTGTGATGAAAAAGTTCTGAGCAACACTTTATTAAAACATTATTATATACTTGGGATGCCTCAAGAACGAATTGTGTACATTTTAAATATTTTGAAAGGTGAGAGTAAAATTTAACATATCTTTAATACCTTAAATAATCCAATAAACTTACCCAGAGAGAACTACCCTTGTCAGTTTGAATAAAGTCAATTTTCAAATGAGTGCCATATAACATTCATGTAACGTTCGTGAAGTCCTTCAGTTACTTTTCTGCATTATATTAAAAATGAGGATAAAATTGATTCAACCCTCAATTCTATTAAAAAACATGCTAATGAAATACACTTAAGTCATTTACAGAATCCTGTCTAGAGAAAATGAAATGGTTGTCCATTAATAACAGTGAAGTTAGTATATAAAGCAAAAAGCAATATTTTATTATGTTAAACTCGTTAAAAAATGTTTACGGTTTTTGGTGTGGGGAAATGTGGGTTTTACAAATGCCTGAAGCTATTTTCTTGAGTGACAAGAGGTAAATATCTACTCAGTGACTTCCATTAACTCTTTAAGTGGGCAGTGCAGAGAGTTGGTTAGAATACTGTCATTCTAATATTATTATATTTTTGGTATAATGATAATACTGATGCTGGTAAAGCCTATACCTAATATTTATTGTTGTTTTTTTTTTGTCCAGAATTTATTTATTTATTTACAGGTTGTAACAAAGTACAAATAATGTTGATATTATTTCGCAGAAGATATAGTCTTGTGCATGAACCTGCAATGACTAATCATGTATCATATATGTCTACCTGTTTCATTTATCAATTTTTGAAGAAAAAACAAAATTAAAGAAAAATGAAAAATAATATAAAATATAATATAATTTGAGACGTATTCAGACATTATTCCTTAGTCACTGCATGGGTTGATAGAATGATTGAATTACTGAATCATACAAATCAATAATCCAGGATCTGATACGCTTTCGTTGTCATTGTGTATTAACATCACAATTTTTGAGTTCTGTACTCAGCGCGTTGAATATTTTGTAACAAATATAGTAATGCTTCCGTCTACTAATTTTTTTATGAATTTTTTTCGGAATGATATCTGTGTTCCTCTTTGTTGTTGTAATAGTTTTATAATCATTATACGTAGACTCAAAGTTTGTTAATAATGCTTTTTCTCTATAAAATGTCTTCATGCTGATTATTTTATTTTCTCTAAATATTATTTCCGATGGAAATAGTTTGCTTTTATTATAAATGATATTTATAATTTGTTTCTGTATATCAATTAATGCTTTCATATTATTATCCTAGGCTTCACCCCATGCTACAATACTATAGGTTGCTATGGACCAAAACAAAGCATAGTGTATAGACATCAATTGCTTAGTATTGAGTATAGTTCTCAACTTATAAAATATATAAATCAAGTATCTAACCTTTTTCACAATTTATTGAATTTGATGACTCCATCTAAAATTACAATCAATATAGGTCCCCAAATACTCAGCAATTTATGTTCTATTCATATCAAGACAACACCAATAATTAGTATCACATGAAATTTTATGTATTTTTATCGAACAATCGACAGGAATGCTATCTTGATAACTACCATAAGTTACATAAACGGTTTTCTGTATATTGAGTTTTCATACAATCATTTTTTAAAAGTATTGAAAACAGAAACACATTAACCAGAAACCATAATTTAAAGTAAACAATTTCATTAAAATATTGTATTAATTTTTAAATTTTTTCACCTGTGTGTTTTGAGGACTCCTTTCTTTTTCTTCTTCTTCTCCTTCTTCTTCTTCTTCGGGAGTTACTACAAATTTGAGATAAACAAAAATTATTATAATATTAGTATCCTTGTTTGTAAGTGTGTGTCATTGAATTCAGTATTCATTTTTGGATGATAAAAGTGTCAAGTCTTTCTAGAGAATTCCCCCAGAATATGATTCAATATTTTAGATGTAAATTAACATTTGCAAGTACACTGTTTGTAGAGTTTCTGAGTTAGAATTTGACTTAGGGATATAGATGACATAATTTGACTTGGTTAGCATGTTTAGATTTGTAATGTGGGAATTTCATTTTAGATCATCTTGAATAGTCAATCCAAGGAAAGTTGTTTTTTGGTCTATTTTTGCAGGCATGTTTTTATGATCAATTGTGCTGGTGGCTTCTCTTTAGAGTGGATTGTTTAAGTTTAGGGAGACAGTTTCACAGGCTTTTATGATGAGTTAATTTTCATAGTGTCATTGCTGTGCCAATCATTTTACTAGTGCCTCTAGAACTGTTTGTGCTTCTTTTTGTGCACAGTTTGTTGGGTATTTGCTTTAATTATAATGTTTGTGTCATCTGCAAATACAATAAAACCTAAGTGGGACAACTCTGGTGACTCTTAAATTTGTCTTAGAGAGGTGTCCAACATAGAGACTAGGGGATAGAAGAATTTATATGGAATATTACTGAATGATTTATTTTAATAGATTATATTCTTAATAACATTACAAACAGTGTTAATTATATATCATTATTATTATTATTATTATTATTATTATTATTATTATTATTATTATTATTATTATTATTGTTGTTGTTGTTGTTGTTGTTGTTATTAAACACGACAATTAACATTTTGAACCCTGCTTTATGAAAAACCCTGATAGAAGATGCTGTTCTTTTCTTGACCATGGAACAAGCCCATTACAGTCCAAATAAAGTTTCTGTTACCTCTGCTTGATTGTTTGCAAAAGCTTAATGTTCTACTTCACCTTTACAACAAATTGCTGTGATATGAAGGTGATTCTTGAGCTATAGTTTCCTCTTCACGTGAAGAAGTTGGAGACAGGCGCATCCCTTTGGACAGATGGCAGTGGCATTCACTTCTCTTCCCCGAACTGATCTTGACGAATGTGTGAAAATCCCACATTTCCAGTGCTCCCTGGCACTCAGAATACAAGCCACTTGCAGGCAGTCAAAAGCGAAAAGGTCAGACATGTCCAATTCAGGACCACAAGAACATCCAACCTCCAAGATAGAGTAATTTGGACATGTTAATGTATTGAGATATGAGTGGTTCTGTAAAAAAACGTGTTCAACAAAAGGTGGTGTCCAAAATATACAGGTGACCAACTTCAGAGGTTTTACTGTAGGACTATTTTGCTGTTTTGTAATCAGGGGCATGTCATTGATGTATAAAATAAATAGTCTAGGCCCTAGGAATCATCCTTACGGCACTTCATAATTAATCATTCTAGGTTGCAAAAAATGGGTCGAAATCATAATAATTTTTCAATGGAAAAGTAATAACTAGGTCTGTGATTTATATGCATATTTTAATATATTAACTAAAACATCCCGTCTCAACCAATTGTATACGTTTTGAGGCAATTAGAATCAATTTAAGCTATTTTTATTTCACATGTGACCTGCTCTGAAGCAATGGGCTTCCGAGAATTTGTTTACTTTGCCATAGCCAAGGATTAGTGTTGCCGCTCGCCTGACTTGTACAAAGTCTCTCGAGAAGCACGGTAAGACCTTTCGTGTCTGTCGAATTGAAATGTGCATCCATCGAGTGCCTATGCATGCTCACACATGGCACAGACGTGGAGTGGTGTTAAAAAAGTCCGGCCCGTGAATTGAGAGGAAGTCATATCAATACCTTTTTTTTATTTTGTGAAATGTACATTAACTGCATCACTCATAATTTTCCTAAGAAATGAGTGTTCTTCTAAATTACGCCCTTGACTTAGTGTTTGTTGCTTATAACTATTTATATTATTTTTGTATCCTTTTTTGCTGTAAACATATTTTCCACATTACACTTTTTATTTTTTTATCACTTACATAATACATCACACCGTTTGTTTACTTATTATGTTACACATTCACATATTTTCCTTTTTGTGTACATTACCAAATATATTTACATATATATGCGCATATTTCGCTGTTTTTATTGCCTATAAATCACAGCCTTGTATGTATTATTGTGACAAATATAATATTTATTGATAGAAAATCTTGCTTCAAGAAACCCTGATACCAAAAGAGTGAATTTCTCTTGTTCCTACTTATAAGTAGGAACAAGAGAAATTCACTCTGTTGGTACCAGGGTTTCTTTCTAGTAATTCACTATAGTGAATTACTATTTACTACAGTGAATGAAAGTAATTCACAATAGTGAATGAAAGTAATTCACAATAGTGAATTACTTTCTAGAATATACAGAGTAGTCAGAGTTTTCTGGCTCCTTGATACCGAAAGTTGGTTATTGGCTTTTTGTTTGACTGCTGTCACAGGTTTTGCACCAAACTTGATATTCCTTGATAGATCTAGCTGATATAGCCCTTGAATTTAAAATAAATATTTTAATTTCAGAGGCTACTTTATAAGATGGAAAGTGCACTTATCTTGAAATATGAGTGGTTTTTCCAAACTTTCGAAATATATCATGACAAAAATATGTTTTTAAAACTGTTCTAAATATTGAAGGTAAAATTTTTTTAATGCAATTTATGTCAATATTACATAACTAAATCAATAAATGTGCATATTTTTTAAAATATTTTTGAAGTAATTTTATGTTGAGCAATAATTATTTTGTTTAGTTCTACAACATTGAAAAAATTTGAATTGAAATTCGTGCACATAATTTGTGTTTCATGAGATGTCTGAAGAATTAGTAGGAAACAATTTGCAATATTGTAATATTACATATATGTTAGTGTGTAATATTTGCGCTATTGTCATATGTGTAGACAGTAGAAATGAGTCTACTGTAATTTGTTCAAATACCTTTTAAACTAGATTGCACTATTTTATTATCAGAAAATTTCAAATTATGTGTGTTTTTTATTACATAAAATTAAGTTATTGAGTTATTCAGTACATAAAATCAATCGTCCTGTGTCTTGGGTGCTCTCTCCCATTGACATTCTGTTCGTCCCCATTGTTTTCTGTGACAAAGTACCTAAGAAAGGCCCCACATTTAAGATAATCTGTGGATGAGAACGACCTGATGATGTGTTACAGAGGGAGGAGTACCTCTAGAAAGCATTGTGAAGGACCTTTGCATTTTCCAACATAATTCTGATGTGATGAAGCGACGCTTGGCAGAAGCCCAAGAGAGGGGTATAGGCTCCTTGAAGCCTTGGAGCCTCCGCTGTTCTGAGAGCACTTTCCAGAGGTAAGAGCAAACTTTAGGCTCCAAGCACTAGAAGTAAGAATTGGTTATCTCTTAGGAATGTAAATTCAAAAGATATTTTCAAAGTTGGTATCTAGACTTACAAACATTTTATAGTTCAAAATCTTATCTATATTGGTAAGTTTATATTTAGGTGGTCATTATGAAAAGTGGAGATAGTATTTGACAATACAAACGTATTAGAATTTTAATAATTCACTATAAAAATTTCTGATGGTGATGTGTCTTGATAGAAACCCCTCAATTTTGCAGTTTATATAAAGCTACATTTAAGCATCATGCAAAGAACAGAGTGGTTCATATAATTCATTTGTTGATTATTTAAACCTTTTATTTATTTATTTTTTGTTTGATGATGTAGAAGGATGTAACACATTTTCATGATACAAAGTAGTGTATAATATTAAATAATTACCAAAGAAAGGTACAGAATGTATCACAAAATTTCAGCATCTTGAGAATTTCAATGATCTCCAGCATTCTCAAATGACATATTGGAGTATAAATCATATTGATTCATTATGACTTTTAGATTGCCAGTGATAAATTTACTGTAAGTGTGTGAGAATATTATCAGAGCACTGTGTTCCACAAATACCTTTTAGTAAAGGATGTCAGTCTATTAAGGCAGGAAAGATCTTGGATGGACATTGTCATGATTTTAAAGAATATTAAGGCTTGTTTTGCTTTCTTACAGGGTTTTTTTATATGTGTAATTACAATCAAGACATTAAGCATGTTCATAATTTTTAAGTAAAGAATATTACTTAATTTAAAAAAATAACAAAAAAAAGCAATGTACGATTTTTTTCAAATTTTAGTGTCAGTTTGGCCTGAGCCAAAGCTCTGCGATTTTGAAAATCATTAGTTTTTGGAGATACTTTACATGAAACCTCTGGTACATTTAAAAACTTTCTCAAAAATAGCTCCAAATTTTTTGTTTAAATTTCTTCTAAGAATATAGTAAAATACACTTATAAATGTGGCTTATGTCCGATTTTCACGGTTAACTCAGCATTTTCAACAATACAAAAGATTGAATATTTTGGGGGGTCTTCATACAATTACAAATTAAAGATTGAGATTTTTCCTTGAAATTAGATTTGTTGTCCATAATTTGTTCTTTCATTAAGGTCACGAACATTTTTGTGAAAATGTAAGTTGTTTGTCACACAATATTGCATGCAATTTTAAAAAATTACAAAAATATGATTCTCTCTCTCTTTCTTTTTTGTGTGTGTGTGCGTATTTATAAAAAATTTAATTTTTTCTAACTTGTCACTCATGTTGTTAATATTTACATTCGCATCAATTTGTTCACATTAATGTATTTATGAGTGCATGTGCTTTTAATAATGTTGGATAAAGTTTCAAGAAAACTCAACTGCTTTCTGTGAAAATAAGCTCAGAATTCCGCATTTTCAGAGCAACATTTTCTCAAAAATGACTCAAAGTTTTTTCATCAAACTTTTCGAAGGAATATGCTAATTGCACTGTTTTAAATGACAAAATTAATTTTCTTGAATGCTATTGTTGTTTTTTTTCAAAATTACACAAATGTAGTTTTTTAAAGATTTCTCATACCGGTAATATGCACATTTCCAGCAATTTGTACACTAATGTATGTATTTGTGAGTTAAAGTGCTTCAAATGACGCTTTTCAAAAAAGAAATATTCTGTGAAAAAGTGCTTCAAATTTCCAATTTGCTGTAGCGCTTAAGCACAATTTTCTTAAAAATGGCTCCAAATTTTTCAAAGAAAATTTCCATTTAGAACGAGGTTTTACTGTTCTCTAATATTCTTAAAATAATATTTCCATTCTACTATTACGAAAAATTAAGAGAATTTAAAAAAATGTACTTTGGCAGTGATAGGTGGCAGCAGGCAAGTTCAAATAGCTAGCCAAGACCAATGGAAATAAAAAACCAAATATGGGAAAGTCTGTGCCATTCTGTTGCGCCACCAGTTCCATTTAATTTTTTATTTAAAATTTTTCAAATTTGTACTTCAAGTTTTGCTAGTGCAAATGACAGGTTGATGCTGGATATTAAATGTTTCCAATGGCAGACATTAAATGTAGCCAATGATAATGCCATTTGTGCCACCACTTACCTTTTTAATGTGTTATTACGTAGTAAACAAAACTTTATTTCTTATTTGTAGTGAAATATTTGATATCAAATATTGTGCATCTTTATAATGCTTAGTAGTTAAATTAATCACTACGAGGGGTCAGTTGTTTCAGTAATTGTTACTAAAAGGCAAACAAAACTCATAGGAATTGTAACTAGTAAGGCTTAAATTTAGATTACTCAAAATTGCTCTGAAAATTGGTACCACTAAAATGGTGGGAAGTGTTTAATAAAAATAACTTTATTTAGTAAATACAATTATAGGCAAGCAAACATAAATACTGCTGCATCATTACAAGGATGTGCAATCATCATAGCAAAAATGTATGAAGAATTAATGCATTAAAATGAGAAATAAAGCCCTAGAGATTAAAGGAAAAAGTGAACCGAGGGAGAACTTTTTTCTTGAAAAAACTCCCGCTTTTCTCGGCCACCGCCACAGCTCTGTTTTTGTCTCCCGGCAACTTTTAACTTGCACTTCGCCGGGAACTCGCCTCGTTTCTCACCGACCGCCACAGGTCTCTCTCCACCGCCCCTAGTTGCCTAACTTCATTTCGGGGCCACCCCCCGGGTTCCTCCGCGACCGTCACACATTCGGCCGCCACCGCCCCGAAGCCAGGAACGCCGGGAAAAATGCAAGTTTCTTAAAGGTCCTATAATAAGTTGCAGACAAAAGACGATGGAATAAAATTATAGTTTTGTTACTTCTGGGTCATAATCAGGGTTTGCGTGAGAGTTTTTAATGTCTTAGATGCATTGATTAATCTTTCTAAGATGCTTGCACTATCCGAGTTTGAGCTTGCTGAGTTTTGTGCTGTCGACAGAGGAGAGGATAAGAAAAAAACTTGTTTAATCTTGGTACATTAACATGAATGTTCACTAGTATCTGTCAAGAATTAGAAAAGCTAGTGACTGGATTTCCCCCTAATGTCTTTCACATGCCTTAAAGAATTAGTATCCTAAAATATCAGTTTCTTGGCAAAATAAAAATAAGAATATGAAAATAAAGGATCCTTCATACAACGAGAGGCTCTATGTGAAAATTAGAGCTTATGTTTCTTCGACTGTTTTAATATGTTAAAATATAAGTGTTAATAACTTATGGTAAAAAAGACCCGAAAAATGTATTTTCAGAGCTGGTTCCTGTGCCATGTTCATTGTTTGTTTTTCCACTCTGCAGGACAATTGAGAGAAGAGCGAAAGCAAGAGAGTTCCTGGGTGATCATAAATCTGTAAAAGACTATCTTGCTACAAGACTTCAGTGTGATGAAAAAATTCTGACACATATTTTCAGAAAAATTCCTCAGATGAAACACATAACTGTGCTGAAAGTCAAGGAACTTCTAGATTTTTTGTATGATGTGGGTTACTCACCGGAAGAGGTGTGTTGCACACCTAGAATTTTGACAAGGAGTTTGAGGACAGTTAAGGCACGTGTGGTAGAATTGGAATTACTGGGTATTACACATCCAACTCTTTTAGTCTTATGTAAGACAACCAAAGAGTACCAAGACCTAATAAGAAAACTGAAACATAGTCAATGAGTTGTTTGTTAACTGTCTAACCGAGTGTTTGCGTTTTTTTTCTTCTGCATTTCTGATCATTCTCAAGCTTTTCATTTGTTGTACATCAACCATGTGAATGTAGTAAAGATCTTATGTGTAGAACAAGATTGTTCTTATCAACAAAATTATTGCCAAAAAAATTATCACTGGTTTTTGGGTGCATACTTTAAAAAAAAATTAAATATTCAGCAATTTCCTGATGCATATTACAATGTAATATTCCTTTTTACAGTTGTGTAATCAGATACATTGAGAATATCACTTTTTATTTGTTTGAAATTTCAATATAGATTAACACAGTAATGAAACCAGATGTAATACTATCAATTTCAAACACAGCATTTTGCTAGATTCTCTCCCACTTATTCGGGAAGATTGATAGTATTGACAGAAAGACATCAATGTTGTTTGCTTCTTGTTAGTGAATTAAGATTATTAAAAGTAATAACAGAATTTTCAAACCAGTTACACAGATGTTAAAAATGACATCATGAAAAGGAATCATCTGGAAATGCTATGTGTGGTCAAGACATTTGTTGCACAGTCATGAACTGACTGCTGTTTCACAATTAATTTTTCCTCTACTGCTATTCTTAAAAATCATTTTAGTTAGCATACATGCATTTCTTTTATCTGAAATTAGCAGAATAACAACAGTGGGTCTTTCCCTCGTGTGTGTGTGTGTAGAGTTACAAAAGTAATTTTTTCATTTATTAGTTTAAATCAGTGATAGCAAAAGTATTACGTGTGTCTTTGATAAATTAATTTGTATGTTCTGAAAAAATACTCTACTTTTATTGTATTCCATAAAATGGTGATAAATGTCTTGGACATTACAAAATTGTTAAAACTTTTATTAACATATTTTATAAATGTTTTAAACAATGCTCTTTTGTACCGTGATTATTACCGTACCACAATTATTATTTACTACATGCAAAATTTTGGAAATTAAATAATGTTTGTTAAATAGCTGTGTATATGTCTGTTCTTTAAGAACACAATATCTACACTGAAGTTGATAGAAGAGTCTCTATGAACACTTTTACTTTCTCCAGCATTTAATACAGAGAAAGTATATCACACATGTAAAAAATATATCTTTGGATTTTTGACAAAATTAGTTGGTTTAGTAACCCCCAATACAGATTTTATTTTCTTACAAATGTTGATATTTTCATCATCTGTGATCGTGCTTGTTGACTTTCATCTCCTTCTCTCTCACTCATTGATCTACAAAAAGTGTCCGATTAGTTTCAGAGATATGCCAAGAGCAAAACTAAGTGCTGTTGAACCATAAATAGAAGTTGGAGGTCAAGATATAGGGTTTAATTTAATCTATGTAGGGATGAAACACGATAAAACAAACAAAAGTCACTTTTATTTACATAATTGAAGTTTAAAATTAAAATAAGATTGGTCTCTTGATCTACATCTTTCATAACTGCTTTGCTTGAACAACATATGAGGAGGAGTTCAGGTGAATAAAGAGGATAGCTGCGGCCAATCTTGCCTGAGTTTCCATTTGGCTAATGTCATGGGCCCACTCCACTCTTCCCCATCGACCAGTCTGCAAATGAAAAGTGTAAGGTACCAACACAAGTACAGCTGATGAATCAAATTGTGCTTAAACATCTCACCTGATATTCCTCCTCTAATCTTGACAAGAGTACAGCAGTGTTGATATTAATGTATCGATCTGCACAGCACAAGGTAAGAATAAGGGACTTGATTGCATCTATTCCAAATGCAAAACCTAAAACAATGTACAAGTGAATTTCAATAATCTGACTGATTCCAATTGGCAATATTACAACATACTATACAAATACTTGTTACAGTATACTAAATGAATCTCATGTCTTATGCATTGTTAATGAAATGTGCTAGTTATTGTTTATTAGTCTAGCTGTTTCTGTTGTATACACAAATGACATTATGTAAGTTGTTTAAGTCATTTGCTCAAAATTGAAGGTAACAGGCTAAAATGTCTTGTACTTTTACTATGTACTCATATTATATAAAATGAGAACAAATTTAAATAGGTTCACCTTGTCTTCAATTTTAAAAGATTTTATGGAAGGGAGGTAAAGAAAAATACGGGATTAGAAGGATTGAAAGAAATTGTTTGGCCTTTCAGATGTAATTTTAGATTACATTAAAACTGTACCTGAAAGCTTGCATATCCACACATCAATGTTTATTCTTTATTTTTAATATATTTTAAGTCATTGCTCTAAAGATGTCTCCGGTCAGACAATGTGTCGTTTGAATTGCTACATGAGAAATGCTACTAACACATACAATCGGAATATGCACAATATTTAGATTATGTCAACAATGAAAAATATTAGTAAGTCAAAGTTAAACAATACACAACACAATATAATGGCATCAAATATAAATTAGTTTATTACATTGTTGTTAACTTAAATTGTAACCTTGACTTACATGTATTTCTAGCAATACATTACAGTTATGCTTGAATGTTGCTATATGAAAAACCAGACAATAATCTCACTCCGTTTCATTGCTTTACTTTCCAGTCATTTTTCACTAGCAAAGAAAAGGCTTGGCACTGACCTACACATTGACATGTGGGACTCCTCAACCAAGTATCTCCCACGAGTGGGGTACTGTCCAAGCCAGATAAGCTCAAAGCTCCTGACGTGTGGTAGAATAGAGCATATGTGTGCGTGTAAGTAAGGAGATAGGACAAAGTGGAAAGAAAGATCATGTGCGGTCAGGACAAAGTAGAAAGAAAGATCATGTGCGGTCCATGGCCCATATGTTTGGGTACTGCCTACGGCATTTGCCTGGTGTTGATTGGAGGGGGGGGGAAAGAAAATCAGCTCAGCTGATTGCTAGAATTCTCCTCCAGACGGGCTTAATTCGAACTAGCTATTTCAAAAATCTTGCCACTATCAGGATTTGAACCCTAGGTCCTCCCACTTGGAGGCACTGTAGTGACATCAATTGCCCTGAGCTAAAACTGTTATTTTTAGTCGAGATTGAATCAGAATTATATATAAATGCTTTAATATTATTAAATAATTTTCTGATATTACCTAAAAACTTTAAATTGTAATTTCAACTGAAAGAAAGTTACAAATTGAAAATGAATTTTCCTTTGTCTACTGCAAAAGTACAATTTTTTGCAGATATAGCTTACTTCATCTTCATCGTTTCATTAACAAGTCCAAGTGATTGGATTAATTCTTGCAGCAGAACCAATTGAATTTTTGTAACGTAAATATGTCAGTTCACAATACACTGAACACAGATTTTAAGTTCAAATGAATTTCTCATGCATTTCATAAATACCATGAATTGCCCATATATTATACGACAAAAGATGCCTTGAAATAGTGGCCTTAATTTCTTCAGAAACTACTGGTCCTTCAATGACTCGAGATGGTCTGATAGAAACTTCATATCGTTGACAAAACCAATCAATTATGGGACTCCATTCTTTTTTCTGAAGATCATATAGTTCATCTTCCTCCTAAAACATTGTTACAGCAATAACAAGAGATTATAAGCAAGCACAAAAACAATTCATTAGTAAAATTCAAGACCTGAGAATACAAGGATTTTAAAATTACAAACTTGAGTATAGAGTTATAATTGGACAGTGATATTACAATTTTTTTTTATCTTATCCAAATATCTGAAATTTGAAATGGCTGCTAGAAAGGCTTTATATTATCTATTTATATTATTATAGAAATAATTGTTATTCGGAATATTTTTTAAAACTGGGAAAACAAAATATCTTACCTCAGAATGGAAAAGAACAGTATCTGTTTCCAGGAAATTCATGAGTGACTGCACCAGATCAAACTTGGATTGTTTTGTGGGATTGTCTATGACAGTGCTGCAAAGAGCAGTCTGAAAATAATGGCATTAAAAAGTATTTGTAGTCTTTTTTTTTCTTTTAATATTATCTCTAAATGATACTCAATTCTGTTATACCAGGTGCATGGTGCTACGTTGGATTTTTTCTTTCTGAGCATCCCATTCTGCTGCCACAGCTAATGCTAGAGGTTCATTATGAACAATAAAAGGGTTTCCTTGAGGCGTCTTCAACTTCCTTTGATCCAAAGTAATTTCATAATTCCCATTACTGTGGATCACACCAGTCTTACGATAAAATCTTTTGGGTGCTAGGACAATAGAAAAAAGAACTGCATACATTATTTTTCCCATAAAAACAATGAAGTAAAATCTTCAAATTTATTTACAGCAAGGTCATTTTGTAGCACAATATTGTTTCATCGAAGTTTTTAATACAAAAGGTCGCATGCATATAGTTCAAGCTGTCAGACTTGCTTCCACAAAGAAAAACTTTTTTTTTTTTTTTTCCGAAACTGTTTGGGAGGAAAGTGCTTATGTTCTCGCTAGTTGCTCTTGTAAAAAGAAATAAACTCAAAATAGGCAAACCTGTCGCATTATTTTACACACCGGTAGCGTAGAAACGATGGCACCTTAATTGTACTACTAAAGCCTGAACTGCTATACTTCGACTAATACATTTTTGACTGCAACACACCGTAGAAAATACGCTACTACAGAGCGCCATTACCAATATTTTTATACAATCAAATCAATTAATTTACTTTTCAAATCAACGGCGCTCAGTTCCTTAACCTTCAAATACAAACTACAACAACGCGCGATGTGAAATCTCCATCTCGATAGAGTTTCGAATATATTCTCGTAGAAGTGTTCTAGGTTAATCGGAACACTCGTTCAAGAGGTTGTCTTCCATGGTGAAAGAGAATATGAATGTTCGGTGTAAAATTATATACTCTTTGGTGTATGAAATATCCCTTACACCTTCCTGTAAGGGGTCTTCGGTTTCCAAGAAAAACGAGACACTTGTAAAGTCGGCAGTGGGGAAGGAGTTTGAAACAGCTTTTGTATGCTGCCTTTCATACTATTGAAATATATAAAATAACTGTAATGTAGTGGTAAGTGGTAGTTTCATGAAGCTATGAATACATGTATATGGTGGTATGTGACGCTGATATTTATTTTTTCTCAACATTTCCAGAAGTAATTCCTTTTATTTGATTTTAAACATTAAAATATTGACAAATTAAATTTAAAAAAATATAAATCAAAGAAAAGTTTGATGTACAAAATATTACAATAAATGGCAATATTTTTTCATCAAATATATTGATCGAATGTGTTGGATTACGAAGAAAATATTCTACACTGATCTGTAGTATATTTTTTTTTTTCTATCTCTCTATTTAAATTTTTTTCCCTCTCGTTCGACAGGCTTTGTCCTTCGAGGAGGTTAAATATACAGTACATAGGTTTTGGCTTTTAGGGGAATGGCCATCCACAAATAGTGGTTTTTATTACTTGCAATTACTTTAACACTGTGCTTAAGTTAAATTACGCGAGGTTGAAGACTGCTTCAGTTTTTACATCATTTGACGGAGTATATTCGAGAATCCAATTAATTAAATTGGCGCAGTAGACTGGCCAAGGCGTCATTCACGACGGCACGTGTACGACGTTTTCTTGCTTGTGCGTCCTTCCTTGACTAAAAATTCCTCATCTTATTCGATGCAGTTGGTATAGCCATCTAATTCTGATTTTAATTATCATACATTTTAACATATTCTTAACACAAATAAAAGTAATATGCATTTTTACTGTTATATAGTTTTATTTTTTCTTAATAAATGGGGAATATCGCAAGTATTACGTAATTATTATGTATGTATTTGTTTAATTAAAAGAACACCATAATCTGGTAGTACAGCGTTTCACAAAACTATTAGGACATTTATTAATTTAGCCAACAATTGCTTAAATTTTCCTCAGAAAACCATATCATCATTAGTTAGCGCACAAATTTGAAAGAATAAAATGTTCTTATGTATGTAGACAAATACTTTCAAAAGTATGTGTTTGTTTAATTAAAAGAAAAATAAATCGCTGAGGTAGGGTCTGCGCTTCAGCTATTCGGACAGTCGTTTAGCAACGTGGTAACGGATCTTTTGATCTCGGAAAAGAACGTTGAAACCTTCGAGAAGAAAATAACATTGTGATAATGATAAAGAAGGATCCTCATATTAGGACAACAAAAATTACTTCACAGTTAGAAATCTTCATTGGTGAGGAAGTAAATCTGAAACCTTGCGAAGGGTGCTCAAATTTTCATAGCCGCATTGCCAAAAGAAAGCCATTTTATAAGTAAAGCGAACCGAAGGAAGAGGCAGGAGTGTGTTAAAGAACATTCAGAAAAAGATGAAGACTAGTGGAATAGAATAATATTTTCTGACGAGTCGAAATTTATCATCTGTGGTCCCTAAGGAAGACTTTGGGTGCGGAGGAGAAACGAAAAGAGCTGAAAGAAGATAGCATGCAAGCAACCGTGAAGCAAGAAAGAGGAAATGCAATGGTTTCGGTGAACTTGTGTTCACAGAGCAAATGATGAATATGTTCAATTATCGTGTTATTCTTAAAAAAAAAATTAAAATAATGTGCTGAAAATCTTTGTATTTTTTATATGTTTTATTCCTATCAAGAAAATAATCCCAAGAACAAGTCACAGGTTGTTCAACTTCGGCTGCTGTACAATTGCACAAAGGTACTTCATCCAACCCGCAATCACCAGACCTCAATGTTATATGAAAAATTAGAAAAAGAAATACCAAATTCATTCCAGATAAGAATGAAGGCAAACAATGTAACGAAAATGGAGAACACTTTCCCCTTGTATCCCTAAACTTGCATACGAAATAGACTGAAGGAAGTGATGCAGCGAAAGGGGATGACTGTACGAGATATTGAACTCGTGTGTTATTTTTTACGTGTTTTTCTGTTTGAACATTATGTAGTGCAGGGGCGGATCCAGCCGATCATTTTGGGAGGGGCCATCGTAGATATTTGTTAAATAACCATCTTTGTTATTGTATTGTTGTCTATTATTTATGTACTGTAGATATGATACTATTCAGTATTGTTTTCTATAATAATTATGTAATCGAACATAAATATTTAAATCAATTTTGCCAAATAATGGAATGTAAACGAAAACTCCAGGCACATTCGAGGGGCCATGGCCTTGCTGGCTCCCCTAGCCCCCTGGATGCGCCAGAGATTTACATTTCTATTCAAGTGTCCGAATTTCACAGCGATTTCTGTATTTTGAGGATTGTTTCCGTTGATAGTGTTGATGAATAAATTTTGAATGAACAATACTCAAACTAATAAGAATTGTTTGTTCTTTTCTGTTGGCCGCATTGGGTTTAGATGAAGTCATTCCAAACACAAAATAATGACTTATGCTTTACAGAAGAATATGGAACAAATATTGCGTTTGACTGCATTATTATTTTATTTATCTTTACTGCACAACAAGAAGTATTTCTAGTACAGGAATCATCAGTTTAAAAGGCGATACAGTCTAGCTAATTATTTTAGATTTCATTGAAGTATATTTAATAGATCAATATATTGATATGTTACCAGTTTTGCATATTTCCAAGATTATTATTATTATTATTATTATTATTATTATTATTATTATTATTATTATTATTATTATTATTTATCTTCTTTTTCTTGTTCTGCACTTGAAGGACCAGGCGGCTACCCGTTCCGTCTTTACTTATTGAATCATTATTATTCATCATAAACACTTCTCTTTATTTATTTATGTAAGATTTAATGGGACGCAGTATTGAAGGCACTTATTGGGACACCGATGAAAGCCTGGAATGGTATTGTACCGAACTTGTATGTGCTGTTGAAGCACCGGCGCACTTTAGGCACATGCTTATACCACATGTCAGATTTGTCTCCGTACAATTTTATCAGCACGGGGATGACAATCCGGTTTATTTCCACTTGGCTGTTGCCTCGAGGCACACCAGTTGTTACCTTCACATGTTCAATGTGCTTTTCGGCACAACGTCGAAACTGTCGTAAGTGAATGCAGTTCCTCTGTCACTGATGATTCGCCGGGGGTTCCCGAAAGTTTGTTGTAGTAACCCTAGCTTGTCAAGCAGTTCTCTTGTCGTAGTTGACTTGGTCGGGAATATCAAAACAAATTTGGAGAATCCATCTACGATTACCAATAAGTGTTTATACAATTTTGAGGTGGTGGTCATGGGTCTAAGGTAGTCAATGTGCAATGAACTCAGCGGCACATCCCCTTTGGAAATTTGCTGTAAAATCCCTTCTCGTTTGGCTCTTCTCCGCCAGCGCACAGGGAATGCAGCATTCCATGAACTGCTGTGGCCGGTCCTTTAACTTGGGGATGTAATAGTCCTCTTGAAGTGATTCCGTCATCTTCACTCCGAAGTGACAATTTTCATGCATCCTTCGTATCACTTCTTGATGCATTGAAGCGGGCACGGCAATTACACTGTTGCTGCCAACCTTTTTCATCACCACCCCATCTATGAGGTAGTCCTCATCGCTCTCAACCTATCATCATTTTATTGTTCTCTTCTGACGGTGGCCAGCAGGGTGTCCTCGACAATCATGCCAAGGAGACAACTCAAAGCATCTACTGGATTAAGGCGCTCCCCTTTCGGCGTTGTTTCATAGCTGAACTCTTCCAAGGTCAGAACCCTCTAGCAATTTTTGGTGGCAGCTTCTCCTTTGACATGGTTGGTCTTGTGGAAGGCCTGGCAGTCCGTGACAATCTTGAAGAAAATACCCATCAAGTATATACGCAACTTTTGTACCGCACGAACAATGGCCAGAAACTCTAGCTCGTAAGAACACCACTTTTTTCTGCCTCTGAAGTTTTCCAGCTCAGGTAATGGACAGGATGAAAAACTTCGTCCCCCGTTCTTTGCTGCAGTAGGATGGCCCCGTACCCCTTCCTACTGGTATTCGTGTGGATCTTTGTCACTACTGTTTGATCGTAAATCTTTAACACTGGGTCACGTGTCAGAACTTCCTTCAGCTTGCAAAAGCCACCTGCTGCACGCTAGTGATTGTAAGATGTCTTTTATTCCTCAATTCATTTAGAGGATAAGCCATTTTGGCGTAGACCTTCACAAACCTACGGAAATAACTCATGAGTTCCAAGAAACTCTGTAGGTGTTTAAACGTTGAGGAAAACCTTGAATGGCCCCCACTTTCTCTGGTGATGGGGGCACGCTTCCCCTTCCATGACGTAGCCCAAAAACTTTATTCGGGTCTCCAAAAATTTGCATTTTCTCCAGTTTCTCCCCAGGATATGGGCAGCTGCTACTCGGAGAGTCTCTGCTAACTTTGCCAAGGCATCTGGCATGTCGCGTCCGGGAATAATTATATCATCCAGGTACACTTAGATTACATTTCGTCTCGGGTGAGGTCCCTAATACCTCCTCGATGAAGCGCAGAAAGGAAGGAGGGCTGTTACAAAACCCAAATGGCGTGTAATTAAATTCATATTGGTCACTAGGCACAACGAATGCGGTGTATTTTTTGGATGTTTCAGCCACCGGTACACGGAAAAAACGTTCTTTAAATCTAGCACTGGAATATCACATCGTTCATCAGGGTGTAGATCTTGTCATCGAGGATGGGCATGGGTAACCTGTCTCTCGCTACTTTTCTGTTAAGAGCCCTATAATCCACACAGTCTAGGCGATCCGTCGTTCTTATTCACAATTACTACAGGGCTGGCGCAATTGTTCTTGCTGTGCCTTACAATGCCTTCCTCCAACCACTCTTGGATTCGATTGTCCACGATTTCCTTCTCCTTAGGCGCTAGGCAATGAGACTGGATATTCACCGGAATCTCATCAACGCAGAGCAATCTGAGTTTCTACGGTAATCTTCACATCTTTCAAAATACAACATATTACAAAACATATAATTCAATCCTAAAAAGAGTAATCAAACAAGCAAAAATAGTAACAAATTGCTTTTCACGTAATAAAACAAAAGCTATGTGGGACATTATTAAAAAGACTACCAACTAAAAATAACAGAAAAAATATAGAACTACCACTACAAAAACGAAACTGTACAAGACCCACAAGAAATAGCTGATATATTCAATGAACACTTTTCACAAATAGTAATAAGTTATCTCTCAACCAACTGCTCTAAACAATAACAACATTCTACCAAACAAACACTAATATTACAGCCAAATTGTAAAAATTCCATATTATTATATGAAACCACCCCCTCTGAAATTTTTACAAATCATGACAATGGAGAATAAATTTCAGCAGGCATGACAACATTCAGATTTTTTATTAAACATCAGTGTCTCCATGTATAGGTGCAACCCTCTCCACATCTCAATTACTCCCTCTAAAATCAGGCATATTCCAGATATATTCAAAACAGCAAAATAAACATTGTTTAAAAAGGCAATAGTTCATGACCCATGAACTACAGACCTAGCTCCCTGTTATCAGGATGTTTCAAAAATCTGGAAAGTGCTTTTCATATAGACTCAAACAGTTTTCCAATGCAAATTACTGTCCTTACAAATGCACATGCTTTCAGGAGTATAGATCCACAGCACAGTCTCTCTCCTAAATGACATACTTGGTTGGCACTAAATTCAGAAGGATCCCATTGCTCTTGTCTTAGAGTTTAGTCAAAAGCTTTGACTATCAGTTGACGATCATATACTTTAAGAAAACTAGAAATGCAGGGATTCGAGCCAATTGCAGGCCAATGGATCAAATGCATATTTTATCAAACGTAGACTAAATAGTTGCCCCTCAACACTAAAGAAAACAAATCTCCTCATACTACTCCTGTCCTCAAATAATAAATTGTGAGAGTCCGCAAGATCCATCCTTCGAGACAATACTTCTTATATACATAAAATGACATGCCTTTGGCTTTAAGGAACAAACAAAAAAATTTCTGTTGCAGATGACACCAAACATATCATTAAAGCAAAACACACAACAATCCATTAGAACAAATTAAACCCACAAAACTTGCAAGCACTGTAAAATGGTAGTTAAGACAACAAACTCATCATAAACACAGCACAAGTCTCTCTAATTCATGAATCTCGATCTAAATGAAAAAAAACTTCACACATTTGCCATAACCTAATAACCCTGTAACCGAATATCTCATGAAAGCTACTTCCTTAGACTAACAATTCACAAAACCTAAAATGGAACACTCACATCTCAATCTAACCAAGAAGCTCAGCAATCTTGCTATGCACGTTATACTACCCTCGGTCAAAGCTCCACATCCCGAGACACTCTCAACTATGTTATTTTGCAATGTGTACTCGCACATCTAAATATGAATAAATTCTGGGAGATAATGCCCTGAAATAAGCACTCGACATTTATTATCCAAAAAGCAATTGCGAGCAATGACCCCCAGCACCATAAGCTGGTCTTGCAACCCTGCTTTAATAAAACTAAGGATTCTTACCTTACCAGCATGTACATACTTTAAAATAGTGGTCTTCACAAGAAAATTCTCATGGAAAACATATAAGACACTTTTACCTTAAATTTGAATGTACATAACGACAACACCCGTCAAAGTTCGGGCGTGCGTCAGGCCATTGCTGACGTTCTCCCACTCTGAAAACTACACTTTATTCAAAAAAGTAACCTAATAAGAGGCATTACACTTAATACAAACTAGCAATGCATATCAAAACTTATAAACACAATTGCATAGCATTTCGAAAGGTAATGAAAGTTTCCTGTCTTATCAAATGTTCTACAGTGTAAGGAATCTCAAATTACAACATTTCTCAAAAATATACTAAATAGATTTCTCTATCCATTGACTTTCTGTTTCGTGTAAACTGTTTCAAACATGAAGCAAAGGAAAAAGAACTGCGCTATCGATCCTGTGAACAGAGGAGCAATAGAGAAAGAAAAAACTGGTCAAACTTGCCTCCTCACCATTCATATAAATTATAGAAATGTACTACTATTATTAAATTTGATATAGTTGCAAACATAATTGATATGTATTATTAATGTTATTATTATTATTAATATTCCACACTGTACTACATGAGTGCACTCTCCTCGTCGTATCCCTGATCGTCGATTTCTTGCATGGCGTAGATGAATTGCCTTCTTAATTCTGTAGGTTTCTGTTTCCTCTGCTGAAGCTCACTGTCAACTACTACGCTGTTCACTTTCACCTCTAACTCTCGACAGTTATCCCTAGTTAGATAACTGGAATACCCATCTTTTAATGATGATTGGCCTGTCTATCTTTAAATGATGGAATCTCTCACTTAATATGATGGCCAACATTACTTTATTAATAATTATTAATGAAGTTTCAATGATTAATAATTGAAACTTAAGGGTATTCTTAAATGAAATATTACTGGCCTTGTACATCTTTACTTAAATGTCTTTAAAATTGCTTAATTTCCAAGTACTTACCTGGTTTGATGAAAATTAGCTCTCTTACATCCAAAACTCCATACCAGGTTACCTCTTAGCTGCAACCAAAATCCATCCATTTTGGAGCATCCATACTTATAGTATCCTGGCTTTCATCATCTGAATACTATTTTGTGCGATTACTGTACAACCTGAGTTATTTTTAATTCTAAATTCATTTTAACACAATTCAGTTAATAAAAATTTCCTCTCAAATAATTGATATTACTTTGCTTTTAATCTATTGCAGTAAGTATATATTTTAGTTTTGTACTTCCCTGAAGTAAATGAATTTTATCTAGCTCACGACATTACAGCTGCCTTCACCCAAGACACAATACATTGTCCAATATTTAGCGATAGTTCATCATGCTCACGGCATCACATCTACCTCTTCTTGAGACACAATACGTTCTGTTGAAATTTTTTGTTGAAGTTCATCTTGCACTCCGCTGTGAATTGTTCTCTTGTTGATTAGCGTGCTCAATGCTATTCTGTCCTTTCCCACTGCACACTACTAAGTTCTTTTGTCTTTCCAATAATGAAAATATTTATTTGTTCAATTTACTATTAAAATATTTTAAATAATTAAAAAAATTCCATATTTTTAACTTTTTGTGACATATATTCACCTAATGTCACGTTTCTTCTCCTTTTTACCCTGAATTATCCCATCTTGTCGAAATTCATCAACATATTTCAATTTATTTCTCATTATATATCTCATAGATATTTTGATTTGTCTCATAATATATGATAGTATTGTGATTATAGATCTTGTGCTTACAGTCACCAATAAGTGGGGACAGGAGACAAAGTTTCATTCCTACTCTTGTTATCTCTGTATGGAAAGGTCTTAGCAGTCAGTGTTTTCGAAGAATGGTCAAATATAGGGGTGATGTTTCTTTCATATTCAATGCCAATTAAACATGGAGCCCATAGGGTTTAGTTTTGGGGACTGTACTCTTCCTTCTCTATGTAATGAGTTCTGACTTGCATACTCAAGGATGGACATCTGTTTTCATGCAATGCCAGGCAAAAAATATACTCTTATCTATAACTATAACAGATAATGTAGGAATTGTTTCACCTGGTGTTTGTATCTGCATCCTTTTATAAAAAAAATACCTGATAAAACACATGGCAACAAAATGATATAAGACAATTATTATCCATCTGTATTTTTGTTCAATAAAACAATTAATCTCCATCTTTTTATGTCTAGTATCCCTTGAGAGATTGAGCGAATGTTCAGAGAGTCCCTTTGCTTTGCTTCTGAAGATTAAGTGTAGTGTTATCCTCCCAAATATCACGTGTGGTTTGTACTGTTTCTGATGTTAAGAAAGTATATAAATAAATAAAATGTTATATTATTTTAATTATGTTACCAAGTTATGCTACTAGAGCACTCCAAAGTGCCAAAGGCATGTTATATGAGCATTTATGTTCTAGAAAAAGTAGCAAGCCTGTTAGACTTAAGCTGCGTATGCCCCATCAGCTTTGGTGTGGACCAACTACCATTGATTTACACCAGCCTCTCTTTCTGACTTAACCACAGGCATATAGTAGCTACACATGGTTTTAGTTGAAGATTCTGACTGGCGCAAATCTTGAATACACTCTGGCCAGGAGCATACAATGCTCTAGCAATATCGACAAAATCAACATCTAGCATTCAAGAATGCCAAAACTTTGCTTATATGTTTCATTTAGGATGTCTCTATAGTTCATGTTCACTCCATTAGAGAGCACAGAGAACAAAATTGACACATTTCTTAAAATTAACACTGGGAGTGAAATGGTTAAATACAGTTGGAGTGTGTTTGAAAACACTTTACACTTAACAATTGGTGACATCATCTCCTTCGAAAAATATGGCTGTTTCCATTTTTCTTTCTCTGAATACAACATTGGTCAATAATAAAGTGTGGAGATGCAGAGCTTTGTAGATTCAAATGTCATATGATCAATAGTGCAAGGAAATATGAAATTAACATGGAAGTAAATGCTAATAGACAATCCATACTGTCTACAGTTTTTCATTCATTATTAACTAAAAAAGAAGTACAAAGGATTGAACTTTTTTAAGAGTTAATAAGGTTGAAGATAACATTTCACACAACTACATGCAATTAAGATGACATCAAGCAAAAACTTTCTAAAAATTTATTGAAAAAGTAATGCTGGAATTTGATGTGAACCATGAACATTCATATTTGCTAGTGTTATAATAATATTAGTTTTAGATTCTTCTTGTTAATTGTGATAAATGTTTAATCCTATAAAGAACAGAACATTTGCATTGAAACTTTAGGCTGTTTGGAATTTGCTCTCAGTTTCTAATATAATTATAAAGATTATTAGATTCCTCCTAAAATTTCTCCTTTCCTTTCATGCTTTTTTTGCTTGCCACCTGTCTCTAACATAAATATTAATTTCTTAATATAAAATAAAAACAAGTGTTTTACAAAACAAACTTTATTGTCTTATTTATAAGCAAAATATGAAGTAATAAAAAATGAGACTGTAATCAATACATGACACAAAGAAGCTTTCTGTAAAAATGTATTATGGATTATGTACAAGTGAAAAATATGTCTATGAAACACTGTAAGTCACTTTTATATAGTCCTTCAAAACAAGTTTCTATTGTAATATAGATTACCACTAGATTTTGAGGCAAAAATTGGCAGTCTGATATTATTATTTCATGGACTGGAGAAAAAATGCATTATTCTGCAACATTATTTATCAACATTATGGAACGAAAATGACAACTTCCTGTAACTTTACACTTAAATGAATTATTTGTTTGTTGGCTATGGAGTAACAACACTTCGTCTCAGGCACATAGTGTTGGAAATTATTTACAACATAGTCTTGTAAACCTTTCAAAACTTGCTAGATTGCAAAGCAAAAAGGATCAATGAACAAAAGGAAACATGATGCTGATTTTTTTCTTTGAGAGTGCAATTTTCTTCATTGAAAGAAGGAATGAAAGGGATGTATTTTCATAAAAAAGTAGGTTTTGTTCATACTTCCACAGAGAGGAATAAGAAAATATGGGAAGTATTATTTATGATTCCATGGCTGACTCCCTTGACATTTATGCATAGAGTGTTTTTTCCACCCATTCTTCCATGGTGAACTCAGCTCTGTTGCTGTTATCTGGATCTTTCTCCTTGAACATATCTGACAAAGAGAAAATATGGTGTTATACATTTTTCTACATAACTAAAGCTATTTTACAGATACATGATGATACAAGAATCTAAACTTCTTAAAGATATACGACTGATAATATAAAATATGACCATCTGGCTCATAACATTCTGGCTGTAAACATTCTGCACTTTGTAAATGATTGCTTTGCAAGAAAAAAAAGTGCTTTTCACTGGAAGCCAGCTACCAGCAGCCAAGCCCTGAACTGTGTGTGATAACATTTGGCTCGGTATGTACATGTTGATCCAGTTCTATGTATGGACAAACATTCTAATATTGTTGAGAGTTCAATGAAAGAAACCAAAAGCCCTATACCCATGTGATTAAAATGCACAAAATATCTAATACTTCTTTTCATAATCGTATACTCCATTACATGTATTTCAAAATTTGACACATTTCTTATCACTTGTGCAATGGAGTGGGAGTAATACCCAGAAGAGTCAAACCTCCAAAATGACATAGGTCCAAAACAGGTCTCATTTTATAGAATATATCCTATGAAACATAAATTATGCCCTCTGGGATCCACACAACAAGGATCTAGAACACACAATTTCTTAACTATGCTCAACGTGCCACTTTACATGGGTTGCACATTGCATGTATGCCTTTGTTAGAATAATCTATAAAATTCTACATTTTTTTGTCTTAAAACTCTTTGGTGCACCCCTGGAAAGTATTGCCTTGCCCCAAAAAAGCACCATTATGGTCATTTGTTCCCATGGTGTCTAAGTTGGAAATAACTTTCATCTCTTAATGTATTATATTCCCAAGGATAATCTGTCATGATTTCACAGTTTCAACTACTTTTAATATTACATAAGATTACACTTCACAGCAGGAAGGCAGGGGCTTACCTATCATTGCCTTTAGTTTCACAGCACACATCATGAAATCATCAAAACTGATTGTCCCCGTCTTGGTTCCATAACGATGCACCAGTATATTTAAGATGTGATTATTAAGACGGTAACCAGCTGAATTAAGTGCTTGACGAAGTTCAAAAGCACTGAGATATCCAGACCCATCCTTATCATACATCTTGAAAACATTCTACAATGTATAAAATAAATCATTAGAACTTTACTGACTTTAAAAAGTGCTTTTCAAAGAACTAAAATTATATTATAAATATTATTCAATTTCATTTTAACATTTGGTTCAATTCATTTGTACACAGTAACATTGGTTCAGTTTATTTTTTCCCTTGTAATGGTAGATATATTAAATAATGTAAAAAAAATTTAAAAAAAATTAAATAGGCAAATTCTCAGGTATAAATTTGAATTCCTTCGCTTAGAATTTACATTCGGTCACAAAATTACATAATATGGTCCAGCGAACCCTTGCAAGTGTTTAACCTAAAACATTACCATACCTTCCAGTGCCTGACATCTGTCCACAAAGCTCTGAACTCTTCATATCCTAATTTTCCAGTTCTGTCAACATCCATCAAAGCCACCATACTGCGACACACATCTTTTGAAAATCCTTCGCGTTTTGTTTCTGCACACAAGAAACAATTAATTAGTGTAACTGCTAAAAAATCCAAAATTTATTATACTTACGTGCAATAATCGATTTGTCAGAGGTAACATTGGTATTTTCATTTTGTAGTGTAATTGTAACAGATTGCTTTGTAGGCTCAATGATTGTGACTACCAGAATGTTAAAAAAAATGAGTACATTCTTAAGAGCATATTTGTGATAATAGGGATTGTTGTTTGTACTTAAAATTTAACACTAGGAAATGTTATTACATGCATTTAAAACTACAATGCTGATAAAATATGAGTCCTTGAGTAAGTGTAATATGATAATATGTTTTTGTCTTTTAAATATGTGTCCCAGATTTTCAAAAGAAGGCACAAATTTCCTACTGAAAATTGAAAATCTGTTATTGTTATTATTAGACATTCAACAAACTGCATGTTAGCTCATGCCAGCCAAAAGTTAGTAGAATTAATAAATCCTTCTAAAAAGACATGCGTTTTTATTCTATTAATTTCGCTTGCTATTTTATGTTAAAATCTTATCTAGAATAAGTGTGGTCTGAATTTTATGACAGCCTTTGTATTCTAATTATTTTTGATGAATTGTTGCTATTAATAGTGATAAAATAATAATATTCAATTTCCAAGGATTTTGACTATTACAAAATGTATAATACTGTAATTCCTTTTACAAAAGTTTACTTTGTTATGATTTTGGTTTTATTTTCATTTTTCCGTCATAAAAAGAACCACTTTTCCAACTTTACATTGTATATTAAATGCCCACAAGACATAAAACATAGCATTTAAACTTCTAGAAATGCAGATGCAATGTACAGCATCTGCAAAAAGCTGTTAAGCATATTAGTGTAGCTATCGTGCTTGAAACGCTGTTAGGGCAGTCAAAAGCATGCCAAACACTAACATATTTACACTCACTGAACCTCACTTCCTTGAAACTGAATTGAATAAAAAAATTTATGACAAGAAACACAGAACAAAATATTGATGTGTTTAATTTCATCGCTGTAGTAAAAAAGTTGTGAAAGTTAACATTTAATTTTGCGTGGTAAATATGAATATTCTTGTACAAGTTAAAATTCATTATTTCATTACAATATAATATATATTTAAAATTGAAGAAGAAGAAGAAAAAACACAAGTAGGCATTCAGAAGTCATCATTGTTGCTGCTGATGCTGCAATAAAGGATACATTAGACAATGTTATAACCAGAGAACTTGATAGAGCAAATTACAATATTTAGGGTGGCCAACATATAAGAATTTTGGAAAAATTAGAAATTTTTTTTCAACCTAGAAAAGTCAAGAAATTTTTGTAATACATCAAGGAATTTTTCTTTTATTATTCCATTATGTAATTGAATTTGATAACTTATTTAAATATCTTCTAAGGTGAGTAGCTTAAGTAGAAAAAAAAAAAATTGCATAAATCTCTGTGTTTTGAGGGGCACACTGAATCTAAGAAAGTGCTTTTCTTTATTGTAATACATAGTCATAATCTAAGTGACCAAATTCTCTGACCAAATCGTGGAATGATTAGAAATTATATCATGAAAAAGGTTTAATTTCACCAGGAAGTCAACTGAGAGAATTAAGAAAAATGAGAGAATTTAAGACTGACTCTGGCCACCTCTGGTCATCTTCTTCTAATGATATAATTCTGTGTGTGTTGAAAAAAAAGAACTGGAATACAATTACCAAAAATTATCTGGAAAAAATATTGTAAACTCCTCCTTGAATTCAGATACAAATACTCTGAGGTGACAATTGGTGCAAAAAAATTTCTTGACATTGAATTAAAACAAACTTCATAGTTGGTTTACATACTTCGTTTATGCTTTTTTGTTGCATCAAAGTCTTTCTTAACAACATATAATAGTGCAATCTAACAACAAAACAGAGTTGTTAAAGAGATTCAATACCTGCTGAAATAAGAAATATGAAATGTAAGGGATCAGTAGAAATATGAAAAAACAAAATAAAATAATCTGGAAAGTATACAATTTTGTTGTTTCATCAAAACCATTCAATACATGGTAAAGAGTATATTACTGAAGTAAATATAATGAATACAAGTTTTGTAGAACTAATGATTTTGTAAACAATTTTGATTGACCCTTTAAAAATTTTATGGTGGAGGGGAGAACACCAATTTTTAAACTTTATAAAAATTTGTTTTCATGTCTCACAACAACATGAGGAAGTGAATTTTTTTAAATTAAAAATTAATTTACAATAATTCTGGAAGCTAAGATGAATGACTTTTGGAAATACATTTAATTTATATTGAATTTTCCCATTTGTTTGGCCCCAGTTAATATGTTAAGAAAATAAGTTGAGTTGTCTGATTATTTATGCTATAACAATGTTTTGAAATCATTGATTAACATCAAATAAGTTAAGTTGTATATTTATTCAAGCACATTATTTTACTTAAAGTAATCAAATTAGTTGTCTCTTTATTCATTAATTGAAATAAAATATTATTTCAATTAATCATGGTATTGTAAGACATTTTTGTTCATTGTAAAATATAGTACTCGCATATTACTTAACAGCTTATTCCAGGAGTCAAAAATTTATTTTTGAAACTGCCCTTCTTACTGCAGTTTTTCTAGTTGAAATGAAATTAGGTTACACCTACCCAGGCACCTTGCAAATGTTTGCTTCATATAATTAGGAATGACTGCTACAGAGAATGATAATGAATGAATGAATGGTCATTACCAGCATGTCAGAAGATTAGTATGTAAGTAAAGGGTTCAAATCAAGCTTCAAGGAAATTTTGGAAATTTGTTTGCATATGTGTTATACCAATTGCAAAGGACCATATCAAATGATGGTTTACTTCATTGAGAGATTAATCAATATATTTTTGTTAATTATAGTGATGAACTACTATACTTTGTTTTTTTAGGTTCAGAATTTTAGATTTTTCTGTCTCTCATGGTCATTCCTGTAAAAGTTTGTATCCATTTATCTTGAATGAACTATTTATCATTCTTTCTTTTAGAAAAGTCTATCACAACACCTTTGCCATAGACGCGGCATCACCTGGTCAGCCCTTTACCATTACCATTTATACAAGTCTAAAAAAGGTTTAACACCATAGTTGTTTTTTTTTAGTTCTTTTTCAAAAATTTGTTAATTTTGATTTCAATTTTGTAAATGTACCAATATTTATTGCAAAATAAAATCTTCAATATAAATTTTAGAGTGGAATATTGATTAATACTCTCTCTAATCAGGTTTGATCATCAGATGTTTTGGTATGTACATAATTAACTCTTATCTTTCCAACACAATGCAATACACTGTAGCAGAACATTGTCTTTTGGCTTGGAAAGGCAAGCAGACCCACCACCACAAAGCAACAATCTCAGCAACATGAAATGCACATCACCCATTACCATGAGCTCTTCAGCCTATTCAACATTCTATTCAGAATCGCATTCCTTTCCAAACACACACGTTCTTCATGCTGTATCGCCTCAGAATCACCCCAAACCAAGGAACAGAACCGAGTGGATGGTAAATGGATGGAGGCTGTTTAAGGTCCTCACATTTTATGCCGATCCTGTTAACAAAGACTGTGACTTCATGTGTATCCTAAGTATAGCAAATTGCTTACCAAACATTTGGCCGAGAGGAGTGTCACGACACACCACGCCACAGAAGAGGGAAAGCACGGTGGTGATGATAGAGTCCTGTTCAGAACTAGCCCTAGGCATCTCTAGCAACAACAAAGAGCAATTACAGTGAGCATGTCCACAAACACTACACAGACGATACATTCACACTATAGATTACATTAAACAAAAAAACATAGCAAGCACAAGGAAGGTTGCTTTGTAAGCACATATGCAGTTTACTTACAAAAGCTTTACATCTGTTACAGACACTCCTTACTTGCATCATGAACTCACAAACACTTCCAAAAAACATAAACCTAACCGAAAACCATGAGAAGCACCTGATATTCACTTTAGTCCTTTCCAGAAAAGTAAAACTTTCATGATTATGTAATGAATAAATTCCAATGCAGTCCACTCTACAAATCTTTAAACACTCTTCTCACTCATAAATGCAATTCACCAGAAGAAAGCTTCAACTGATTTTGATAATGCTGTACAGAGAAATATTTTCAAGCAAAATAATAAATAAATAAATTATACATCTAAGTAATAAAGTCAATAAATAATATATACAAGGAAAACTGTATAACGTGACAAACATAAAAGTTCATCCACTATGAACAACCTCTATAATAATACTAATGGTAAGAATAATGAAATAAACCAAGCAAATTCCACATCACATGCTTTTTCAATATTTCAAAACTCCAGTCAAATTCAGCAACACTAGAAAATACATTGTTAAATTCTACACACTTCAAAAAACACATGCACAAATTAACTAGAGCGATTCTTGAAGCCTAAAGAAAAAAGTCATCAAATGTTATGATTAAATTTCAAGTATTGTGATATTTTCAGAAAAACAAATTCCTTTCTAGGTAGTTCAAAATTAATTACTTTCATGAGTCTACCAATAGTAATTCTTTATGAAAAGAGATTAAATTACTGAGATTTTTTTAAAAACAAAAAATGAATTTTTCATTTGTGGTGGGAATAAAATCTAAATTGACAACTGAGAAAAAGCAATTTAGCATACCGTTTCTCATGGCATAGTCAAGAATGTCCTGCAACTCCTTCCAGTCTATTTCCAAATCTTCACCAGCAATCTTTAAGAAGAATTCTTTGGCTTTGTCTTCAGTCTTCTGCTCTTCAGGCTCTGGTTCATTCTTGACCTACAAAGGAGTAAAAAAAATTAATTTACAATAATTCTGGGAATATAATGGGATGTAAAATACATTGACACTTAAAAGGATCGAAGGTCGTGTGCCTTAAATCTACCTATGATTATTTACAGTTACAACAATCATCTATAAAAACATAGAACCATTTGACATTTGGTTGTACCTTTTATTGAATCTGTTGGTGTGAGAGATGTTGGAAATGGAGGAAGTAATAAAATGTTGTGTACAGCGGTAACAAAAGAAAAAAAATGACTTACAACCTTTTGCACTTGAGAATATAGTATTTATGGAATAAAAATTCAAATTTAAAAAAAAAAATAATTCCCACAAAACTGTTATAATGTAAATAAATGAAATTATTGTTAATGTACATAACTTGCAGCTTTTTAGTTTTAAAATTTTGAATAATAAAATAACAATTATAATAATTTCAACAGCTTTTAAATTTGAACATTAGGAAAATTAATTACTGCAAACAAAAAATAAGTATAGTCAAAAAAAATCATGATATTTCCAAAAATGTTAAAAAAATCAAATATTTTTTGTGAGATTGCTTATTTCTGTTAAAAACACTTATTACTCTCAGCAAAAAATTGCTCTTTTTTCATATTTTTTTAGATTGCTTTTTAACAACTTGGTCATATAGCGGCCACTGTGATTGTTTTAACAGTAGGGGGAACTGTAGGAAGGACATGTAAGGACAACATAAACATGCCCAAGGTGGGATTCAAATCTGTGACTCTTTGAGCCATGGCAGCTACAACCCTCTAGCCTTAGCAACCTCAGCTATCCAGCTCATTAAAAAAATAACTCTTATTACTATTTTATACAACAATGTACTACATTGCAATCTTCAAAAATATAAGACAAAATTTTTCAGAGCTAACATTTTTCCGCAATTACTTATTATTCACCATTACGGTTAACAATATTCTTGTAAACTTCTACTTAATATAAACAAAACAAATATAAACTATAAACAAAAGAAAACTTACAAGAATAAAATGCTAGCATGAAGTTAATAAAATATATTCATTGTGAATTGAATTTTGCAGAAATGAGTTGAAAAATTGTCCAAAGGCTTCAATAGTTATATCAGAAAAATATTGATCATCTTTTAATTGTTTTCTGATATTTCTCAAAGGTAATTAAGACATCAATTTCAGCCCCAGGATATGACAATATAATATTGTCACCTTTCTTTAAAAAAAAGTAAGTACAAATAAGCAAATTTTAAACTAATTATAACTGAAATTGTTATGAGGAAGTTATAATAAAAGCACTGGGTTAGTATGTTGTTGTTATACAATAATGTATAATTATATAAATGTTTCAAACACAAGTTTCCTAGATTTCACTGCGAGGGCATAATGGTTATTACTTAAGAGAACTTTAAATTCACATTCCTCAGAGTTTTTCACAAAATTTAATTTGTATTACAAAATCTGAGAAAAATGAGATGTGGTTTTTAAAGAAAGGTGACAGAATTATTTGAAAAATTGAAAATAAAATGAAAAGTGTATTATTAAATAGTTTAACCATGGTAGGTTTTCTAAGAGTTATAATTCCCTTAACTGGAACTTCACTGGAAGAAAATGGTATAGCTTACACAGATATATCACAATAAACAACAAAATGAAAAGCATTTAATAGGGCAAGTAATAACATTCATCAAACGGAAACTTGGTACGGTGGCGTGATCAACAATGTCTGATTCTATAGGTAGTGTAACAACATACTGCAACATGTATCACTGGACTAGCTTCATCACCAAAATGAACATGGAATGCTGATTGCATTTTCCTCATTACGGAAATGAACAACATGTTGCCAATGGAGGTATATTTTAATAATGTAAATTGAAACAGATCTTTTCATATAGATATCGTTAATATAGTATTTTATTCAACATATATTGAATAAAATACAATATTTACAATTGTCTTATGAACAATTATTTTTGACTTAGATATTTTTCTTATTATGAAACACCTGTAAATGCAATTTTTCATTTCCGGTTCACTAAAACCTGGGGGGAAAATATCACAGAAAGAAAAAACATATTCATGTTCACATGCAAGAGATGGTTAGTGAGGATCAAGGCCAAGTATGAATATGTTTTTAAAATGTGAATTATGTTTAAGAAACTTACGTATTTGGTTCCGCTATGGAAACCATCATGCTGATCCTATAAGTTGTTTGCAAGATTAGTCACATAGAACATAGAGCATTCTTGCCATCACTAGCCAGCTAGAACTTTAATCATTCACAAATAAATTTGAAACAAAGTAAATAGACTTAAAAAACCAAGCACCAAAAGCAAAGTAATAATAAAAATTATATAGCTAATAAATATAAACTAATCATTAATTGCAACTTTGCAAGCAGTCAAGTGAATAAATAGACCTAACCCATACAAATAGTATGAATGCAAAGTACTAAACTAATAATAAGCATTCAAGAGTGTTATTTAAAAAGAAAATTAACTATTGAGTAAATATGCAAATTAAGATATAAGATATCAAGACCAGTCTAGAACAAGTTATTTCTCTGTTTAAAGGATATTGTTTCTTATCATAGGAATGGGAACGAAAATAAAGGAAGACATGCCAAAAAAATGTTTTGAAACTATACAAATGCATAAAGGGCTAAGAACAAAATATTATAAAATAGAAATGATTTAATTCTAATTCTACACCTACTGAGAAAATACTCTTTTGTTTGTATTAAATAAGAAAGAAAAGTGAGTAAATATTAATTTTGTCAGACCTGACAATTCCTCAATGAGATTCTCTTCACAATATCATATTTCTAGTAATCTTCTTCATAAATTATTTCTTTTAATATAAATAACATGAGTTTTCACAGTTCTGAATATTTTTGAGATGATTGATACCTACGATTTAATTCTTTTCTGAAATGTATCCTCAAATTTGTACACAAATTAAGCTGAACAGAGGTAAACGTCATGACACAAATCATATTAAACTTAAACTTTACAACATACAGTTCACAGTTCCAAAGAGGAGTTTATGGGAATATCAAGGGCAGAAGGAAAACAGAGCCTTACTTCAGTCACCAAAATAAATGAAAAAGCAGTGAAAGCATTTGATTCTAAATGAAATGTTATAAAGTAGTGAATAAAATAACTCTTTCCTTACCCGATCATCAATTTCACCTATGCCCACTTCTTCATCATTTTCTCTGTGAACAAGACCTTTGAATTAACCAACAAAATTCATTTCTGAGAGAAATAGTATGAAACCTTCTTCATGAAACACAAAATGTCATGCAGGTTGACTTTGGATTTTAAGGCTACCTATTTACTAGGTGGTTCAGGTGGACTTGGGAAAGAATTGCAGATATTTACAGATCACAAACAATCAAGCTTATTGAAAATATTCAATAGTGCTCAAAATATCATAAAAGCATAATTGATTCCTCTGTCTTTTTTGCTTAGAACTGCTCATAACAAGAAATTCTTAATAGTTAACACTATTTATTTTAAAACATCTTGTGTTCTGAAAGGAAGTGATGTATAGAGATCTCTGGCAAATTTGTGTCAACAATGAAAGGCAGACCATTCACAGCCAGCAACCATGATGACATTTCATAGTTTCATCTCAATCTTTGAAATAATTTTAACAGACAAAAGAACAGACTAATTGAAGAAAATTTGATAAAATCTTTGCTAGTACTTACAAAAACAAATAATGCATTATGCAAAAAGTGTAGTCATTCTTGTATTTATAATAATTATTTATGAAACAAAAGGTAAAAGTGACATTTTAGTTTGTGAGTAGGAAAGGTTGTGACAAGAGGCCAATAGGCTGAATGGTGCAATCATATGAGCAAAATAAATTCACTTTTATCATGTGTGTCATACGCTATTTTTTAGAGAGCATCACTGACATTTATTTTAATTCAAATACACAATTCACTTAATTAGCTACTACATTACATTTAAAATCAGTAGTAGCTGATGCATTTAATTAAATTATTTTTTTTACTTTGTTGCGTTCACAGTTTGATCTGAACATTAGAGCATCATCCTACTTTTTGCATTAGAGCAAAAAATTAAAATTTTAGCATGCTCTGCATGTCCTAAAAGTAACCACTTTTTACTGATGGCTGTCTAAAAAGTACTTACTTTCCCCCACATAATTAAATCAATAAAGTCTAATTTAATAATTTTAAGACACATTTCAGTTGTCAAAATATCACTTTCGTTACATGAAATTCAAAAGTCATTAGAACAATCAAGTTGGAGATGCAGTGTGTCATTTTGAATATTCATTACACGCATGCAAAATTTTATGTATAGTGTGTAAAATATTTGAGGTCTTGCAAAATCCAAAGAAGCTAAGTACCAAAATTTTCAAAATGAAGGATTTGACATCGATTATATAAATTGCTGCCAATACGTAGTTAAAAGAGTGATGCAAGTAGTTGTAACATCTAAATAGTGATGTTGTATGTCAAGAAGATGAATTCATACGGTTTTTATTGATTTCAAGAAATAATATTTTGGCATTTAGCTCCCTTGGCCTTGCAATGACCATTTAAGGAAAATAAATAATATCAAATTATGAATGTACTTACTCCATGTTATTTTTATTCTCAGAGAATACTCTTAGAATGAATTCTCCTTCTTCATTCGCTTCAAATGTAGATGGTACAATGCAGTAGGTACCTGGTGGTAGTTTAAATCGACAACTTACTTCTCTTAAATTAATGAAAGAAGGTGATCTGGCCACTGATTGATTATATTTAAAGAAATCCAGTGGGAGAGGTTTTGGCAGATTATCTGGATCCGGTAACTAGATTGAAAATAAAAGTTATTTTGAACTCTGATCAAAGTAATTGACATGTGTATTGCATTAAAAGAAGGAATCTTGCTGATCTGATTAGAAATTAACACATGAATAATGTTAAATAAACATAATTCATTTTGTTGATCAAAAAAATGCAAAGAGACAGGAACCACAAGGAAACACTTTACAGAAATATTTTTTATTATATAATGTGACAATCAAATCAGAATTAGTTGCCACAAATCTAGGAAACAAATCCAAAGAAGGAATTTTGTTAATTTTTACCTTTCCGTATACATACGTATATACCAAGTAATATACGTAGTATAGGGAAAGTTATGTAATGCTGCGTAACAAAACGATGGACTTTTGGCAGAAAAGAAATCGTTGCCGGGCCCTGACAATGAAAAAGTGAATAAATTCAGTTGCTAAATTAAGAAGAAAAAATCTGACAAGTGATATAGCCGAAATCACTGTTCTGTGATACCGAAAAACCAATTGACGACGAATTGTCCGTCTGTGAACATGACTAGCGCCTAAACCATAAGTCCAATTTTTTCCAAAATGGATATTCCCTGGTCAATCTGTCTCCACTCGAGGTGCTGCGATTTTGAAAAACTTTTTTCATAATTTGGGTGTACTTTACGTGACATTTTCCAAATTTTTTCAAAAACGGCTCCATTTTTTAAAAAAATTTTTATAAGAATAGAGTAAAACACACTTATAAAGGTAGCATAGATGCAATTGTTACAGTTAACTCAGAATTTTTGAAAATTGCTAAAATTTGAATTTTTCTGGCATCATTCTACAACAACAAAATTGAAGATAAGAGGGTTTTCCTTCATATAAAATTTGTTGTCTTTCATTTAGGTCATATACATTATGTAAAAAATTTTAGTAGTTTTACAATTTTCGTGTGCATTATTTGCAATTTTAAAAAATTACAAAAACAAGAATTTCTCAAAAACAGCTTTATATTTTTTCTTTAAACTTTTGGTAGGGACAGTATTAAATGCACTTTATAAGATGACATTAATGCCATACTACTCTATTCTTTATTTTTTTTTAATTTATTTAATTTACTTTTTTCTCACATTGTTAATATTTACATTAGCGGGAATTTGTTCACATTAATGTAATTATGAGTACATGTGCTTTAAAAAATGTCATATAAAATTTCTAGAAAACTCAACATAAAATTAATTTTGGTATATTCTTCTGTTTTTTCAAAAATTTCACAAATGTAATTTTTTTGAAATATCTCTCATGCCTTTAATATTCACATTTCCCATGATTTGTAACACTGTTGCTTTTGTGTCCACAAAGCTTGAAATGACTTCATATGAAGATTTTCGAAACTCAATAGTTTTCTGTGAAAAGAGTTTCAAATTTCAAATTTACAGTAGCGCTTAAATGCCATTTTTTTTAAACGGATCCAAATTGTTCAAAGGAAATTGCCATTTAGGACGAAGTTTTACTGTTCATTAATATTTTTAAAATAATAGCCAAAACCAAGTGAAAAAAATGTACTCTGTCTGGCAATAAATGGCAGCTGGCAAGTCCGAATAGTTAACTTAAATGAAATGAAATAGAAAAGTAATATGGGAAAGTCTTTGCCATTCTGTAGCACCACTAGATTATTTTATGGAATATGTGTATTTGAATATTGGGTGTGAGTGAGAATTGATTTACAAGAATTCTGCTTTAGTGGGGAGTTGCAAATATTGGGAACATTCTACTAAAACTGTTGATTGTATTTGTCAGTTATTGACACAAAAGCAGTTTTAAAAATATTGTCTTATTTGTTGTAGTCAGCAATTTAATACAGCAGGAACAATGTTTATTTCGATGGTTTTCAAATTAAATGTTAAGTGTTGGGCTCTTTGGAGAACATTAATTCTGATTCAATGGAATTTTTTCAGACTTAAGTAATTCATCTACCCCCTCTTTTCTTTTCAGATTGAATTTCTTTAATAGATATTAATAGTTTATTGATTTTTTTAAGTTCAGATCAACAAAACTCTCCACATTGCAAATAACTTTGCATAACTGAGAACATACGTGATACATTGCAAAACCTATGGTGAGCACTTCAACACCCATTCTTCTTTGTGATCTTCTATTTTTCTGCATCAGGGCGACAATAACTGTACATTTGTTGTCTTCATCATCCTCATCAGGGTCATTTAAAGTGATACGATATTGAGGATTGTGCCAAAAAGTCTCTACAAAAAAAGAAGATATTTTATAAACAAAATATCTTTAGATGTTCATATACAAGTAAAGTCTTAAATTGCAAAAGTAAGCACAACATTACTAGAAATATTTTAAAATGGAATATTCAAAGCAAGGAATAAACAGTTGATAGCAATTCCTGAGGTAATGTGTCTTTACAGAAAAGAGCATTAATGAAGATGATTGTCAGAAATATACATAGTTTTTAGTCAGAATTTAGAAACATTAACACAGGATCCACTCAATATGTTCTTAAAAAAATAACATCTCTTGCAGCAAAATAACCTGTAACTGTCACAATAATACAATAAACAAATAAGTAAGTTTGTTTTAATGAACTTAAAATGTTGAGTAGTTTAACAGAAATATTGAAACTAAATACATAAAAGTAATCTGAGGATCTTTTTGAGTATAATGGTGATCCTCACTCGTGAAGCACAGAAGCTTTCAAGTAAATTCCTCAGCCTGAATTAAGAAAACAATAAACCAATCAAAAGTAATTCTAATGTCATTTTGAGATGGTGTTCATAGGTTAATTTTGAAAGTGTTTAAGTAGGATGAACTATGCACCTAAGAAATTTCTGCAGCCACCAGCTGTTACTCCTCTAACCCACTCGCCCTCAAACATGCTCATTTCCCATTTTCTTTTGTCTGATCCTAAGATTTCTTCTGTAAGGGAATCTGGATTCAAGTTGCAGATTTCCAAACGGTGGAAATGCTCTTCAAAATCCTTGTAAGACATCCAGAACTCTCCATCATCATCAAAGGTCAGACCAATTTCTTCTTTTTCACTTTCTGGGATGAACCTCCATTCTGGTGATCTACAACATGTCATTTACACCAAATTAATGCAATGATTTTTGGAACATAAAACTCCATGTGATAAATTTTTGCTTTGGACTACAAGTTATTACTTATCACTCCATGGTCCATTCCACTCTGCTTCATTTCCCCATGGGTTTCTTAATCTAATGAGGGGAATCTTTCCTGTTCTTCCAGGTGTCTGAATGTCAACCAACTTCACTTTTGTTATACTGTATGCATGGCCTTTCACCAAACCTTGTGGAGTTTGTGCTTCAAGCACATTAGGATCAGGCTGGAGAAATTTGATAGAAATCAAAATAATTGCAAAATCATGCAATGAGTGAATAACTTCAAGGTGATAAAATAACATGGATAAAGTTGAAATAAAACAACAAACCTCTATAGAGCAGCCCATCAAAGATGATCTTTCATAACCTTTTAACATTATTTTAAAGAGATTTGGTGGGGCTTGATTCAGTTCGTACATTTCAGTGACTCCACCAGTGAAATCCTCCATGGCTTCACATGTTGTCCCTCCTTTAAGAGCTTCATAGGATCCATGCAATCTATTGAAATATTTAGAAAGTTAAAGTAATCACTAATGGTTGTTCATTTTAAGCAGTTTCTTGGCTGTACTCACTTCGCATAGGCCTTCTCAAGCAAGGCACTCCAAAATTCATTGTGTTGGGAAGAATGAAGGAAAACAAGTTTGCCGTAGCATGTTGGAAGTCTGTCATCAATGACAACATCAACCCAGCGACCATACTGCCAGAATCTGAAAAAAAGACATAGTCGTAAATTCCAGATAATTTTTTATTTTTAATACATATATCAGCAAATAATGTTCTAAAATATTAATATAGAATATTCACCTGAAATGGAAGATGCCTGCATACTTGCTTCCAAATCCTTGATCATCAGGAACAATTTTATAGAATAGTGCACTACTGAGAGTGAGATTTGCTACTGCAGCCAGAAGCCAGCAGTCACCTTTCAGATAAAAATTAAATAAATCATTATATGTATGAATAATCTTGTTTTAAAGGCTATTGTTTTTTCTTTTGTTAATGTTTTACAACAAAACCTCATTTTCTGCAGAAACTCACCAAGTTCACCCTGTTGTACGTCAAATCTGGAAGCTCCTTCTACAAAGAGTTGTGGATCTTCTACAATTTCCTACAAAGTTAAGAAATTAGATCTGAGATCAATGTGGTATGTTGCAGAAACATAGAAGTAACCAATCTGTATTCCACACGAAAATTACATATATAATTTTAAAGTATAACTTCATTACTGTTTTTATGTTCATTTTTCATTCATGCATCATTTTTCTGTGGATGTGCTCTGAGAACTCAAGCTTTAAAAAAATACAAATCTCTCCACATGGAAACATACCATAGGTCTCCTCCATTCAAATGGCTTGTTAGGGCTTTTGCTGAAGAAGAGGGAGGAGTCTTGAGCAGGGAATTCAGGATCTTCGAAGAGAGTACCCTCTGCCAGGCACTGGTCGCGAAGGGCATTGAAGTCTTGGACAGAACCTCTGGCTCTCAGCCCAGACCCACGTTCTCCCAGCTGCAACAAAGACACTACATTGAATCCTCTGTAGGCTAAGATGCATTTCTCTCTCTACACAAGATGAGGATTTCAACTAGACCATATTTGAACAATGTTTTGTGCATCCAAATGGTATTCATGATTG